TTAGATATCACATGACTTGCTCACCAATCAGAATACGACTTATACAATCCTAAGCACTGTGCCAAACCAATGACGTATTGACCGGCATGAGCAGCCTAGCGTCATAATTGGTGGTTTTTTCCATCTAGCCCTGTCTGTTGAGTCCAGAACATCAATATTAGTTCCAAATATATGAATCATTTATTTCAGACATACTTGGTTTATATATCAGCCAACCAGACCAGATCACTTTTTATTTGTTTAAGCACATAAACATTGGTACAAGGAGGCACCAGACAGAGATGCGCCACATAAATCATTCGATCTGTGTGAGGGCTGTTATGCTATTCGGGTGCCCAGACCGAAACAGGTAGTTTTCTTAGGGTGCCACACCCGGAGCCTTCGATGTAAAGGGCTGATCCACAAGGCAGTGGAGTAACGTAAGGAGATGAAGTCCCATGGTAGCCGGTGACCAACAATAGGTTCATATGCCATTTTTTACTTCAGGATCCTGGAGCCCATGTGCACGAGTGGTTTGGAATCAGGGTTTTCCAACTCCCTTAGGTGGACTCTCCATGTCCATCAACCCGGTCAAAGCGCCGGAAATTCGCTTTTTGTCCTCTCAATTTTGTTAACCACACAACCACCGCGAGAAGACATTTAGTAGGACTTCCCTGTCAATGGCTGTATATGCGTGACTATGTGACGTTATTTTGGTAGGGAGTGCTGACTCTCCCCGCTCTCGGCCGAAAAAGTGGCTTTAATTGTAAGAGATTTAAATAATAAACTGGGTATAACTTAAGAATGGCAAATTGTATAATACTAGTCTATATGGAAAAATAAAGCTTGTAATAAGAGGAATATGAATATATATATAATACTCTTTAGTGATGGGAAAATAAACTATGCTTGATTGCTGACGATGCTCAATCTTCGAATACAATTTACCAGTAAGTAACGAAGTGAATAATTATGCATTGATTTTCAAATGTGGTTGTTATTCATTTGATTTTTATAATGATTCAGTGTAGTTTTTAATTTCAGCATAGTATTTATTTGTTTCAATTAGTCCATTATGATGTTTTGTTCAATTGACTGTTGTTTAACATAAAATTCAGTTACATAAATTCACATTCAGCGTGATTTTACATTCATGTGACAATTTTCCAGTTTGGTCATTTTTAAAAAATTGGTAATCATCAAATTTAATGGATGTTTAACTGAATTAACTCAAATGGTACTTAAACCTTATATATCTTCCCTAGTAAGATTTGTGTTTCAGGAATTAGATAGAAGACTAAGTTGTCTTATCCTGATTTGAAATATCGTTAGTGTGGTCGTTGTTACTGCAAAATTATTATAAGTGTTGTATGTAGTCAATTCACTAGTGATTTACTTATTATACAACTAGACCATAAAGTTTCTAAATGATGAAATTATTTTATGTTATCATGATTACTTTTACTGACCACATGCTTTTACGGTGGTATATATTAATTAATAGTGTTTATGAATTAATAGCTTTATATTTGTTACTGATCAAAAGTTGATAGACTTAACAAAATGAATGACCTTGAAAAGTAACCAACACTTTATTGATTGATCATTTATAAATATATTTGTATATATTTTGGAAATTATTTATAGAAATAAACTAATAAATATATATATTCAATGTATATATACATATATTGTTTATGATTTGTCAGTAAATAAAATAGTTGAAGCACCATTACAATGCTTGCTATGATGTTTGAAGTTTTATAAGTGTTTATCATTCATTTTATTCCCGCATGTCTTATTAATTTTTAGGTTTATTAAGTTATTATTGTTGATATCTCCTTAAACAACTTAATAGATCGCTTTCCCTATTCCTTATGTACATGTAAAGCGTGACAGTTTCAACTAATCGATACCTATGTCAAGTCCATTATTTCCATTCATAAAATGTATAGAGCTTTGATATAAATAATTAGTGGGAATGATAATTTTTCTTAATGTTTGGTACAGTCTTTTTTTATATACATTTATCTGTTGTAAACTTATAACATCAAGGTGTTACTATTACTGCAAATAAAATTTATGGAGAGTGTTACTTTAACAATAAATGTGTTTTGAAATACGTGAGAGTAAATTTCATGTTTTATGTATAGGTTATCACGAATTCATATTATTTAATGAGAAGGATATTGAAAAGATTTTCAACCCTTATTTCTAAGAACTTTTCAGCTTTGTGCATCAATGATATTAAGATGGGTTAATTATAGGATATTCAGGTGGAACACTCATGAGGTGCTTTTAAACTCGAATGAAATAATTGTTCATTTCACTTCTTATTTCTAATAACCGTCTAGCTGTTGTCACGTCTTAACGAGAACATACTTCAAATAATGATAATGATAATGATGGTAATAATAACAATGTTTCCATTAAACCAACCAAGTAGGTTTTACTATAAAACTAAATTAGTAATTGACTTCTGATAATTGTTTTCATCTGCACACAATTTTAGTCGTACGTGATTCTATATCTTTCTAAGATTTTAATTATTCTACTATCTATGAATGGACTTTATTTTCGTAGTACACGCCGTCTCACTTTTGATTTTTTAGTGTTTCGTTGCTAATGTGATACTTAAATATTTTCCTCAATAAACTGTAACGTGTTTCAAGTTATTGTAAATCCTATTAAACAGTTGTAGAAGTAGAGCACCTGATTATTAAATACTAGTTTGGTAGTATGAATATCACTCTAAACAGCTGAGTACCATCTCAAGTACCCATGCGGAATGTGTCACTCAAATTATAGTGAACAAGACTGTATTTGATAAGATGATTTACTTAGCTTAGCAATGAGTTTCGTAAACGATACGATTAAACAGAAAAACTCTCATCTTTTTGAAGTACCTTTGGATTGTGTCAACTACTTAATTAGTTTTCTTTATTTGTTCGAGAGCGCAACTGTTTAAACAACAGAGTAGTTTATAAGTTGAATGTCTATATCAAGGTTGGATCTACTTGAGCAGTTTGAAATAATCCTAGGAAACATAATATTAATCTTTTTCACCAGCCGTTTATAACTGATAAATACCATAAAATTCTTTTTTCGTTTGAATCGACTAATTGTACATGTTATGCTTAATTGCCACCGTACTGACGTTAGAAAATGATGAGTAAGTACTTGTGTGGTGTATGCTACTTATGTTGACAGACATAAGCAGCATGTAACACCAGAAAAGGAATGCATAGCAGCAGAAGACCATGAAGGTCGGCTAGAAGAAAACAGAAAAGGAAATCGAAAAGAACTGTGAATTGAAGGAATCATATAGAATGTGAAGGACAATTCATGGAAGATTTGCAAATGAAGTATTTATTGCATTTTTCCCATATTTTAGGAAGATATTCTGTAATTTAGTAAGAAAAGAAAATATTGGTTGCTCCCAGCTGAGTGTTCATTCTCTACACCAGTACCTTGAACTCTCATTTTGACTACTTTCAAAACACCTTTCAGCACGCATGAGTGATGTATAATTTACTAAGAAAACGATGAGTTTTTTTTCACATTTATATATACTACTTACTCTTAATGGAAGTTTAGTTAGTAATTTAAACCTACTTTGTAAAATTTATTGAATTACCTTTAGAGAAACATTTAAATATTTGATAATACTCAAGATTATTCAAAAACGTGTAGATAACTCACCAATCATGGTAAATGTATGTTTGTTCATTTTCTTTTTTATGCAAACATATGCTAATTATACTTAAACATGTGTTCGAATGGATTTATCGGAATCGACACATTCTTAATTTACACTTGGAAATACCGTATTTGATTTTGTCTGCTAAATTTAAAAGTGAAAATAAAGTAGATATTTTCCAATATACTAAACAAGAAAATCAATTAACATTTAAATAACAGAACAAATGTAGTTTTCAGTTATGTGTAGAGATGTATCTAAGCTATCCATTGTATACCGTGCTTCCCCTCATATGTTGAGGTCTTCATAATCCAGTCAACTACCAGAAGAAAGACAAAAGGTGAGAGTAGGCATCCTTGAGCGACACAGGTCTTTGCTTGAAATGCACCTGTGAGCTGATCTCAACGCACAACTCTGCACTGTATTTCATCGCATGAATTCCATAAGATGTTGGCTATCTTCTCAGGTGCACCATAGTGTCGAAGATAGTTCCATACGGTTCTCTTATCGATAATCAGACGCCTTCTTCTAATTAGAAAAGTTTATGTACAGTGACGAACTCCATTCAAGTGATTTCCCAACGATGATCTATCGTGTCGCGATTTGGTTTGCACATGACCTGTCCTCACCGAATTCGACCTATGATATCGAAGCTGGGCATCTACTAAGTCTTTCATCCAGTTCAGCAACATTGTTGGAAACCTTTCCTGGTACCGATAGTAGTGTGATGCCTTTTTGGTTCTCACGTTCGCCCAAGTTTTCTTTCTTTGATATATTGATGAGGTGTCCTTCTTTCCAGTCGATCAACACTTGTTCCTCCTCCCAAATCTTCTTGAATATAAGGTGAGGCATGTTTGTAGTTACTTCGATGTCCGACTTCAGTACTTCGGCTGGTATATTTTCAGGTCCTGCTGCTTTTCCTCTCTTGATTTGTTTGATAGCCATCTTGATTTATCCGACCGTTTGTGTAATGACACATATAGGAAGGTCTATATGTGCGGAATTCTCTTTTTCTTATTCAGTGACATACTACTTACGTGATAAACAAGTAGTCCACTTTTTTCTGAAAAATAAAGTGTATTTTTGAGTATTTTCGTTACTGTGAAATGAATTTCCAACACGAGGTAAGGCTCACAACCTAAGAGATATTCATTAAAAAAATAATTTAAGTAGCACAGAATGTTGTGATAATTTTCCTTGTTCTATTCATCATAGTGATGTGTTTCTTTACTGAGCATTATAATGTTTATTCATAACTACAACAGTCGATTAATTTAATTAATTGTAAGTTAATATATTACTGTTCACCTTGTATTTACAGATATTGATTCAGATCTCAGAAAAATTGATGCATGGTTGAACACGTTAGCTTCTAGTAAGTACCACATTTTTATCAGCATTAATTTGGGTTTTTTCGAGATTATTTTTAAATGTTTGTACTCCCTCATGATTCCATTTTAATGATTTCGATTGATCAGTCGCAATTAGCAAATGTATATCATGAATAAGATTCCTTGATATTGGCTTTTAGTTTCGGAACTTCAGCATATCTGATGATGACTAAAAGTTAAATCCACGATGCACATTCTGATGATTGATTAACTGGACATACTTTTATTCCAACGCTGATATGCACTCAGTTTCGAAACTAGTAACTGTTGCCTAAAAGTCATTGTGTTATCCAATGATACACTGGTTTTAGATTGTGACTAACTTGTTCAAAGAGCTCAATGTTTTTTGTTTGGGTCTGTATTCTCTCATCGCTGATATTCAGGACTGTATTTGACCAGTTTTTTTTGTATTTGCCGTATCCTGAACTGAGTACTTGGGTTTTTCATCTTAGTTATGAGTTGTTAGTATATATGGGTAGTTTTATGCAGTGAAATTCAGTTTTCTGAATATTGTGAAAGTTTCGGTTGACATTATCAGTAAGATATTGACAATAGGGAAAGTCTCCTTGGTTTATATGATGTTTGTTTTCAAAACACTGAAACATTTATTTGAAAGCCTAAACTTGAAAACATATCATGTTATGGCACATATCTACATGCGAAATCGATGGGAAATGTTTTATACTATTAACTTAAAATTTCATTAAACTTCATCACACTGATAAGCAGTAAAAAGATATTGAAACCTAATAGTTCAAGCATGTGACAACATTTAATGAAAATCATTTCATTGATTCTGGGTCCTCTTAATGGCTTATTAAGTTATATTCCTGCTTGACGAACTTTACATTTGATGTTTTGTTCCATTATCTTATTTTCAGAAAGCATATATATAGTAAATTTTGGTTCAAATAAGTTTTGTAGACCTTACACCAGTTGTGTTTTTTCACTAGACTCATGCTCCACACTAATGAAGATAAGTGTGATGTGTTATCGCCAAAAGTATTGTCTCCAACTTTTTCTAAATATTTTGTCTCTGTTCTGAATTTAAAACTTATGTTGAACAAAGATTTATATAATGAGACAACGCATATATCATCTGTATACAACCGTGTTATTCAAGATAAATTTATCCTCGGCGATTAATTTCTACTATTGATAAACTAAATAGTGTTCCATGATTTGTTTGTCTTAGTATCGTAAGCCTACAATCTCAATATTTTTTGAACGAATGACTGAATATGTCTTGTCATAAATAGCGTCTTACCTTTCTTGAACTCTACATAGCTGATAAGAAAACTCCCGGAAACTATTTTCTTTGTGCAATGAAACGCACTAAAGTGTAAGAGAATGGCCAATTTAATTACCGAGTTTTATGTTCAAGGTTACATATAACAGAAATTTTAAATGTACTCAAAACTATCTGAAACTTAACTATAGACATACATTTTCCACATAACTATATATACGAATGTACAGCTTAAGTAAATGATTTCGTCGAAAAGAAAATTTTCTTCGCTGAATTCTCTTTTTCTTATTCAACTTAACTATTTCTCAGTTGAGATTGAACATTCATCTAGAAACATTTTTTGAGCGATATATATTTCAATGCTTTTTACCATGATACAGTAATCTTAAAAAAGTGAGTTACACATTGAAATAATGTTGTATATATTTAATTTTGACAGATTTACCAAATACTTCAGCATGGATGACTTGCCTAATGTCATTATCCAACGTTCAGAAATTTTCTACAGCTAAATATTATCAGGTGAAATATGTTTTATGAATTAAATATTTTACTCTCATACCCAACTTAACAGTCTCAAATAAATAAATAAAGTAATTAATAATTGTACAGCTAAATTACAATTAGGAACCTAATGTCCATGAAAAGAGATTTTGTATTAATCATTGATTAAGTGATCTGTAAATAAATGTTGACAGGATGAAAATATTTGTATCAGATTATTACTGTGAATACAATTATTTTAACAACATCTCTATATATTGTGACTAAATATCATGCATCTTTGTATTTATTTATACAAAACAAAAATGCTCATGACAATGTAAACAACAAACAAATATGTTAAAGAATAGGTTATGTAAATGTGTTCAGTGGAATATTACATTTTGATATGTTAAATCACTAATATCGACTAATGAGCCTTGTCAGCCTCTTTGGAGCACTAAACTGTGTTTGATTAAAAAAAAAAGGAGGATTAACCTCACATTTACCGATATTGATGAATAGCCTACTAGGTTGTCAGTTTCTCAACAAATAATACAAAGGGCATTCCTGGAATATGCATGCATAACTACTGTATCATTGATAATTTTAAGGTTTGATGATAAAGTAATTGTAAACTACTATAACGTGAAGCAGTTTATAACCATTAAGGTATAGGTATAAATCATGTGCTACCATAGTTTATAAGTAGGGCTACATACAAAAGTAGGATTCAAAACCGATCACTCGAATGATGACTTAATTTTATAAAAATTTACAACAATGTTTGAAAAAATATATTTAGTTTTTTTAGTTATTTGTTTTATCACATACTTTTAGTCGGTTAACCAGATACATGATATCGTGAATAGTGTAAACTATTATGCTCTTCGTAAAAATATTGTACGTTTTTGTTATTTAAACGAATTTTAATCAATTATGAAACATTTTCCACAAAAAGAAGCCCTGTTTTGTTATGTTTCTGAATGTTGAATAATAAATTAAACGGATTAGTTGATAATGAACCTATGACTATTGAGTAAATAAATTAGTATCCGATGCCTAGTATCATTTTTATATTATAAAATTTCTCAATAGACACTCATCTTCATTTTCACCATAGAGTTTCTTGTCTATGATTAGTTGCAAATTCAGCCATATTCTCATATTAGTAATTACATGTCCCTCTTTAAATATCAGTCAATTTTTGTATAATTTATTGAAAACATTTCATTTACATTACAGGTTTGTTTAAAACAAATTGAACAATATTCAAAGACGTTATCAACTATTAAAGAATTAGTTGATCATGTTGAACTTAGTACACTAGCTGATATACAATTTCAAAATAATTTGCATAATTTATCAAGAAATGTTTGTGAATTAGAAGCGAAATTTCATACTCTATGGTTACGTTTATTAGAATTATCAATTTATATTGATCAAAATATTAAAACTAATGTGAATAAACGTGTAACTACTGAGATGTGTCATGATACATGCTCAAATAATACTCGACATGATGTATTACATCAGAACTATGGAAATAATTACTTATCAGAATTCAATACTAAAGAGGTTAGTTTGTCTATGTTATTTTTTCCTATGTCTTATATGTGTATCTTTTTAATTGAATGCTTACAAATAACTGTCTCATTGTTGTTGTTGATGTAATTCAGAAACTGTTCCATATATATACATATATAATTCATTCTGTGTTGATAGTTTGTCAACTCTTCAAACTGATTAAATTAATGAAATCATTAGAAGTGCGTCAATTACTGTTTTTTTCTTCAATTGAATAACATTCATTGTAATGGCGGTTTATTACTACAAATGAAGCTAGTTATGTACTTTAAAAAGAAATTTAATTATTCATATTTTCAAATTTATTATATCTTGGTATAAAATTTTAATATAATTTAGAAACAGATAGTGAATGGATACAGTTTAACTCATCTACCACCCACTTTAAACAAAAAATCTACTCAAGAACTAATTAAATAATAATAAGTTCTTGTACTTTGTTCCGTACAAAAGATAAAATATACAACGATTATTAATATTATACTGTTTTAGTAATGCTTTATAAAATAATTTGTTATATTGATTTAAGGCCAATCGATTACTTAAGTAATATTATATACTAGAGAATAAAAGTTTTAAAACTTTCAATCACTTGGATTCGAATTTAAATTACCGCTTTTCTATCTCATTTGATTGTAAATCATTTTGATAGAGTTTTGTTCTCTGAGCTCTGGATGGTTTGATCGTGAAGCTTTCATCGTTCTTCCGAACGATATCATCAGCATAAACTTCAGATAGAAGTCCAGCTCAGAGAACAAAACTCCATCAACCACCTGAGCTACGAATCTTCTACACCATTGTAAATAATTAAATAAAAAGTGTTATTAGTACTCAAATAGACATACTGATGATATTTGTTTTAATTCATTGGTTATATGATATTAATTTAATAATTGAGAAATTGTTGAGTAAAAAAAATTACTGAATCTTTAATTAAAAAAAACTCTATACACATTTGTTTCGACATATATTTAATAAAACACGATTTGAAAGAAATCAGTTACACGTGCCTGAACTATATATATATATAGATATATAGACGGTAGTTTGGACACAATATGCCAAATTTGTGGCATTTAAATAGTACAATAACACTTACTAGTAAGTTAATAAAATATAGTCAGTTATAGTTAGATAGAGACAAGACTTTGTATAGATTTATACTAATCTATAATACACTGTATATTCTGAGTAGTGGGTTTAACCATACACTCGAATGTGTTTAATGGGACAATCCACAAAAATAGTATAAACAGTATTCTAACGGTATGAAAGTCATAATTTTTCAATAAGATGTTACTTACATTTATACTTCAATCATTCTATACCAGTGCGCCGATGAAATTGTGTTAAATTTTTTCCAAATAAGATATATGTTAGGTGATGTTGTGCTACGGAAGTTTATTATCTGCGAATTGAATCAGTACAAATTGAAAAATTTAACATAAATGCCTCATGCGAATCTAAATTATTTCATTTCATAATACAGTCAAGGTTTAATTGTTCTCACGGTTTTCTGGTGATGTAGGGCAGGGCAACCAGAATCCAACATAACTGTCATTTATTGTACTAAAGGAAGTTGACTTAAATATCTTAAAACAGATTTTACTGGTATATAGCCCTAGATGTACATGTTTTTGTACATACTACTAAAATTAATATAAGCCAGTATCAAAGACAAATGAGTCAGTGAATGAATCTCAGTGTAACTATTATAAGTTTCTAAGACGTTACTGAAAGCTTTCTTCTACTGACGAATTAGTGCTTACATCAACATATCAATTAAACTAATAGCTATGTCGTTCCATAAAACCTTGAATTCTACTGACCGCACTCAAGTATTTCCTGTTTAAGGCCATTTTTTAGTTTCTTATTGTCAACAGAAAATTTTCATCTAACTAGTTTTGCTTCTTATCTTTATTGTGTCTAGATTGGGATTCATCATGTCACACATCGAAATGGACGCGAAAGTGGTTTTGAATCGGAACAAAGTCCTCCGATGAAATCATATTATAGTTATTCATGCAATAACACCATTACTGGTTCAGATATCTTCATGCTTAACGATAAACAGGGACTTAGAAGTAAGTTTGACGAAACGTCAGAATTGCTTGAGTTCCTTTTAAAATACTAATGATTTTATTCCTTTTTCACTGTTTTCAATTTGGTTTTTAATTGAAAAAATATATATATTGCTTAACTGTTCGTTTTCGGTGGTCACTTTAGGCATTCGTTTTCATGATTCAGTTAAGGAAACTATTCCAGATGGATAGATCGTTTCTCAAATATAATTCATGAATTACACTCTCTAGTTATTTCGAATATCCTGCAATGTTTCTTAGACGTGGTATGACAATTTATCTTGTCTGAAGTCACTGATTCTGTTGGGAAATTCCATAGTATTCCTCCGAAAGTTCTGTATGGACCTAAAAACCTTTGGGAACTGTTTATCCGATCAGCGTCGAATAGAAGCTTCTCAGAAACTTCTTAAATGTAAGGAATCACGTGTCACGTTTCTGATCGGGGACTTGCCTATGATGCTACTATATTCACTACAGTTCCAGAAACTTCCATAAGTGCATAGTAGTGTGTAACTTTTTAAATACCCTCCTTTTTCCGTACACATCAAACCTTAGAGTAATGCGTTCTTTTTGCATTTCGCGCCTTTGCTATTTTTTCATATCACCGTATTCCCTGAGCTTGAGGTTAGTAAGGGCTGCTCTAAAATCTGATTGAGCGTTCAGTTAGAAGGCTTATGAGATTGCTGCACTACTTTTGTTTTATAAGTGATAGACAATGGATAATACATTTAAGGTTAAAATAATCAGAAAACATTTGCACCAAGAAATTTCGGGTGAATTTATTTCATCTATGTACGTGTTCAAACATTCAACCGTTACACGTTTCAAATTATACATGAAACGTTGTCGTTAATTTTTTTTCCATATTTAGACACCTAATTGGATATTAATCAATATTTTAAGAACGTACACGATGCAAAAAATGAATCCTGACAATAAAACCTATCTAGCGAAGATCACTATGGTGTAGATATCCTAGCATGATTGATTGTTAGATTGTAAGATCTGAGAAACAGAACTTGTGCACATTGTTAGTCTGTTTTCAATATATTCAACCATACTTATTGTTACAAGAAAGTGCTTTACTTACTCCAAGCTCCTATTCTGTTTTTCTGCTTTATCTTTATTAAGTGTGTAAATAATACTTATTGTATTACTGTGCGACAGTGTCGTTTCGATCTTCTTAAATGATGAAGTTTTTAGATGCTTACAATCATTTCGGGAAATTATTTGAAATATCATGAGAATATATAAGGTTTATGTAAGCTGGATTGGTTACGCCTGGTTATTTATACTTTACTTATATATATATATATATATATATATATATATATATATATATATATATATATTTCACAAATACTGATGGGGATAGGATTAGATTGGAAAGTAGCTAGGGACTGCAAAAGAAACATTACGAACAACTCTGTGAAGACACTGACGAGTAGATTGAGTAATGTAGTTATGTGCAAAATACTTTGCTAGGGTCTATGGGATCGCAATGGCACAGATAATTCTACTTCATCTTCTCTAAGATCTTGAGTCTTAGAATCGTCTTATGATTTCTATTCCGTGAATCCTTTCTTACCTCTTAAATTATTCCGTCTTACGCTTACTGTTTCCTACCAACGCCGATATTGTTACTACCTTTACTACTCTGAGTTTCATTTTGATAATTTCATCTTGTCAAACTAATATGGTTTGTCAAGTTTGACCGATAAACATATCTATCATTGTCCTTGTCGCTTATGAATGAATAACTGATTGATATCTAGAATATGATATGACAGTGCTTAGATGAAACAGTCAACACTAAATTTGTGTTGTAGTTTAAGCTATTTTTATCAAACTTTGAGATTAACTTTAAAATGTTGTGTCTGTGCGCTGGTGATTGTACCTAGTGCTGAGATCTCTGAATCCAACAACAATAGTTAGGCATATAAAGTCTAGTGATATGTATTTATTTGACTGTGGAAACAAATCAAACTGATATCTGTAAACAAGCCTTTATATGATTTATTTAAAGTCAAACTTACATTCAGACTTATATAATTTGAACTGAGTAGTATATTACATCAGTTAACCAATAGCTTACTATTGGAATATATGTTTACAATAGAATGCTAATAGTTTCACACTGACTTGATTTTACTGTTTTAATTCTATCATTCCTGTTTTTCTCTTCTGACAACAGGCCCAACTTCTCGGATTCAACTGAGGGCGTTGGTTTTCCTAACTTTAACCAGTAAATTTATCTGTTCATTTTAGTTTTGCAGAATACTAAGTCTCTCTTGTAAAGCTAAAGCAGGGAAATTTGATTGTTCAAAGTTACACCACTATCTCTTTCTAGAGTCAGATTTATTTTGAGTTTTTCTAACCGACAGGATAGAATATGTTTCCCACATTTTACACTTTGGCATTACTTACTTGCTGTATCTGTCAGTCAGCTTTTTTTAATCAGCCATGTATTGTGTTATCGATATCTTGGGTCGAATGGCCTCTTTTAATGAACTGTTTTATCGCTGCTTCCCTAAATTCATGTAGATAGTATTTATAGAGTGGTGTTTGTTCTTATGGCTTTTCTTCGTTGAAACATAAAAAGTCTCGTGTAAAGACCAGTTTATTTTTCACATCTAACTGAGGAACCCAGCCTTCAGTACTGTTTTACTACCCACCAATACCTTCAAAGTGTTTCAAGCTATTCTGAGTCTATGAAATTTCAATCGTCAGATGGCAGTTTCATTCCCTCATCCCACATACTTTGATTCGAGAAGTTCTCTGGTATCATTATTCTTTACTTGTAGAATTCGGTTCAAAGCTGAGCACATAAACATGGTTATGGTCATTGGTTTACAGATCTGACAGAATGATTTAAGATTCTCAGTAACCTCATAAAGACAATGTCTCGATTATGAATCGTTATCTTTTTGTTTTGATTGCTCCATACGTCGCTGAATAACATTGGTTATCTAAAAAAGACACTTTTAAATCTGTCAATCACTTCTGTACATGACAATTTAGAAATAAAGAAAACGTTTGCATCGTTTTATCTGCGTAGTTTCTGTCAAATCCTTCCATTCATTGTTCATTTGTCAGAATGAAACTTGAGCAACTGAACATTTTATCCAGCATTCAGTTCATTATGGTCTTTAAGTTTTCTTTTACGCTATTACTATATACATATACATCATTTATGGTATTCTTTACTACTGAATACAAAAGATAATTTAGTTTTGATTTAGACCCCTTTTTCAATCATTAGTTGACTAATTTTTCTCTATTCTCATCTCTTATTTTATGTATGTAGTTCATATAAATTTATTTGATTTCCATTTTATTTTATTGTCTGTTTTGATTTATCCATAAATATGTTCCACAATTTGATTTTAGTCTCTTCTTACACATTGTCTGTCTTTTAGAATTTTTAAGTAGTTTATGCACTTCTCTTTTTTTTTCTGAAAACAACACGCATATACATTGTCCACACATATGGAGCTGTTGCGAAATCGATTAACAGGTAACAAAGTCGATATGATTATACATAAGTACGTACACAGATATGTGTACACTACAATAATTGGAGTAGTAATAGTCGGCTTTAGGGTGTGACATACAAATTCAATGTGAAATAAGTTTTTTTTCTTCTAAAATCAATTTTTTCCTTGTTCTTCTCAGTTTTCATTTTGTTCTTATTTAACAGTCTGTTATGTATTCATTATGTGATATTTATTGATGATTTAAGTATATAACTAAAAAGATAAACAATATAGACTATTTAATGAGTTGATTATTATCATTATTCATCTTTATTAAACAAATAAGTGAAATGTTCGAAATTGACCAATCGAATTACAGTATAACAATTAAAATGTTTATCTCATTGATGATTGGCTGCTCATTACTCAACTAGTGATTTTTATTGGCCATGTGAAATTAATTAACTCAATTTATTTATTACTACTTGATTATCTATTAAGTATTAGTTGATATAATATCATTGAATAGAATACACATATTATTTATCATAATCATTATTTCTAATATTAGTGTTATTGTAAATGTTTTCTATTGTAGAAGATAACAGTTGTTCACTTCCGGATGATTTTAATCAAATTATCGGAGAGTTAGATAATGTCTTATTAAATGATGAGCTAATAAAATATCCTGAAGTGATAAAAATTAATGAAACTGTTAAATGTTTGTCATCTCAAAGTGATCTATTTTTAAAAAATGAAGATAAATGTAAGATCAACAGATATGGAAAGAATTTATTCTCTCTATCGAACCAACAGGATATTAAACGGAATTCCAGACTGGAAATGACTCAAGATGAAAATATTTTATTGAACAATACAGGGAGTGGTTTTATTGACATGAAAATACCGGATAGTGAAAATCGATCATCAAATCCGAAAAATTCTGCGGGTTCCACTTTTTGTTATGAAGATGTAGATGTATGGAAAATGAAATTTTCTACTGAATTCAGTAATTCGGATAAAGTCGAGTAAGCTTGTATGAATTACTTCCAATATTTTGTTATTATGTAATTTCTGAAGAAACACTTCAGACTGTAAGATGATTGACTAATACGATGCTAAATTACAGGTTCTTGTTTATTTCAACTGCTTAATTTCCTAGAGCGTTTTTCACATGAATACAGTTTACAGTTCGTTGTACTTTTCGATAATAGCTTCCTTTTATATTATCAGAATTTACTGCTAGATAGTTTCATCATATCGATATGAATAAGTGTTAAGCGCTTATGAGATAATGATGAAAGTTCACATCTCAGTTGAAGAATTTAGCTGATATTTTATTCAATTAATCGGGTGGGGAATTTCAGCAGTGATTTTCTTTGCTCTTATTTTAGTATGGTTATTTTTTTATCATGCTACTGATCATGAGAAAGTAGTTCGTAATATATGCATAACTGTAAAACGCAATTGATTTGCCCTATTATTTTTATGTACTACCTAAATAACTTATCACATAAAACAATGGACAAAAAAGCACATCACCTAAAACTTACCATATCAGTTCGTTTATCAGAAAAGAAAACTGAGTAATTTATTCATTCATGCATGGATCAAAAGATTAAACACACTATGTTTCTATGGTTGTAACGGTCTGTTGCGTGAGAGAAACTAAATCTAGGTTAAAATAATAAATTTTTCATCAGTAGGATCTCTGATGGAAAGCATGTTAGGGATATAATGGATGATATTTTTTCTCTTAATAATTTAAAGGAATTACTTATATTGGTCTATCTGTTCGCATATATATGGTAAGAATGCCAAGTGTTCAACCTCTCAGGTACATCGCTTACTTGTGATAAGCAGAAAAGCTTCAGCTTAAAAGAAACGCGAAATATGAGTCAGTTAATACTTGTGGAGTGTGATGTAGATGAAAGTATCGAACACCAAAAACCGCTAACATATATATATCATCATAATCAACTTTTTAACTATTACTTGTTTTATATGCACATTATCACACCCTATATTCCTGGGAACTGCAAAGGTGTTATTTCCTAAATGATTTGTAATTTAATTAAGTATTCTCGATTCTTTAAAACGATTTCTATAAAGAAAAACATATGAGTTTGCCCTAAGAAAATATAACCAAACAAGATTTTGTTGGATCGCTTCCCTACCCAAAATGTTTTATCGATACTATTTTCAAGGATATTAAATAAGTTTCCTTCATTCAAACATATTATTTTCAAAAAGAAGTAGTATACATAAAAATCTAAGTGATCGAAATTAAAATAACTACATTTTTCTCGTCAATCTGATACAAGTATCTTTAGGGAAATCATTAAAACTCAAAATTATCAAATGAGCCTGTCAAGTGAAACATTGGAGTTAGCTTTAATTTCAATAGCCGAGATGTTTACAAATACAACTTTCTTTCCGGGCTTCTAATTATTGCGAAGAATATGGGTTTCGAATTTCAAGTGTTATATATTATCATCTATTAATTACTTAATGCTCTTCACATGTATTATGATAGGCTAACTTGTTTAGGACATCGTACGGTGAATAAATTTGTTAATAATAGCTTCCAATATTGATTCATGAGTAGTTTCACGTTGAAATTCGGAATTATTCATATTTCATAGGTTTAGCTACGATGAATTCCTGATATATTTAGTTTAAGCCACAGAATGATAGAAAGTAGCAGTTATTCGATAGTACACGTATCGTAATAATGTTGATAATTAAATCCTCAACTTTTGAAATCTACATCATTATTATTTATATTATTTTCTCTTTGAAATTTCAATTAATTAGTCATGAAATTGTAATTCGAATAATATTTCTTTTTATTTATTGTTCGACTACGAAAATACTTTTTTTTTCTTATGTTTATACTTTTAAGAAATAATGAAACAATACACAAATGTTGGTCGTTACCTATTGTGAAATCACCCGTAACAGGAATAAATAAATCGGAAAGTATAGATTTGCCATTTATCTCGAATTGTCGTCAAGTAAATGATAGATCATGCAATGCGCATGTATACACTGTGAATAATAATAATAACAATAATAATCTCAGAAAAATTGCCAGTGGACGCAAATCTGTAATTACTAAATACAACAATTTACATAATTTTTATCATTTAAAACGAATTGGGAACAGCCAAATAATGAAGCATTTACTTGGTAAGTAATCATTTAAGTCTATTGTCATTTACTCATTTTTTTACACACAATAAAAATAAATTAATTTGCTTCGATTAGGATGAAAATTCTTCGCGAAATAAATAGTACCTTGAATTATTAATCATTTATAAATAGTGTAAAAAGGCATCATAAGCAAAGATGGATGGTGACTAGCAGTGGAATCCTGGGCGCGCGTTTCGTCTTGTTTGGGACTCGTCAGTTGGATATGCCGGGGTTTCAGGACTCAGTAACTAAGTGGATAACGTGGTGGCGTTTGAAGCGAACGGCACTGGGTTTGAGTCTCGTAGTGAATATCAACTCGGGGCTGCAGTTTCAAATAGGATGAAACGCAAGTCCTGGATTTCCCTGCTAGCTACTATCCATCTTTGCTTATAATGATTATGACTTAAGGCAATATCGAGGCGATCCTCACAGGATGCACATATGCCAACAAGAGACTGATGAATTGCAGTCCTAAACATCAATGGGAAGATCCAAATAAACAATACAAGATGAATTGTAGAAAAGGTAACTTGAAAATATGTCTTTTGTATTTCTTTCATTTTCTTCATTATGATTTGTTAGTTACATAGATCTTTATTCAAATTACTTTTTTTTTTCGAGCTTATAAAACTCTCACGTTTGTAAGTATTTCTGTCAAGAATTAGGTTGATAATTTCAAATAAATTGACTTTTTAACTAAAATCGAATTAACTATTTATTTGGATACACTATTTTTATATTGCAGTTTGAGTAGCCATGATTCGTCTTATTTTTTAAAATAGAATAAAAAGTAATGATTCCTGGATCTAACTTGGTTACTTTAGTAGTAAATAGTACCTGGGAAAGTGTTATTATCTTATGTCAATCATAGATATGTATAAATATATCATATGTTAGTTGTATAATAGACTGTTTCACTTATGTGTGTGTGAGAGAGAGTATAGTTCAATTCATATCGATTATATTGTATTTTCTTCACTCTGTTATTCTACGTGGTTTATTTTGAACAATTACAGTGTAAGTGGCCGTTGCTAATATCAACCAGAATTCTCATTCTTTCTTTATTAGTTTGTTTGTATGTTTGGGCGATTCCTTTTCCCTAAATTCTTTACTAATGGAAATGTACTCACAGAAATATACACTTGCATAGTGTATGTATGTGTACTTTTTCATATACATATATTTCATTTAATGAATTGAATGTCTCTCATTATCCTTGAGATATTCCTGTTCTCTCTTAACATTTATTAGACTGTTTCAAATTCTTCAACAAACCATTACTGTGTTTACATTTTTCTACATAACGGTAATAAAATAGCCTATTTTCACATTAAATGGGTACACTAATAGAATAATTTTAGTGAGTAGCAGTACTATTAAATAGTATTGGTACTTATTTTTTTATTCTATCCAATGAATCATACATTTCATTATTTCTTTTTTATATTAATTTGCTAAAACCACTTACACTTAAGAAGTGATATTTCCGGAATTTATTTTATGAGATTTTATAATATATTAACTTTTTTTATAGTTCTATCATATCAAGACTAGGTCAGTAGTTAAATTATGCAATCAAATATATAAAATTATTCATAATTCGATTGTTATAACCCATGACTAAGTCATATTATTTATCTACTCGGTGCAATGATAATATTCGGTCACCTTTTTAAAAAAAATAAATTTCACTATTAGTTACAATCTGGAATCCAAAATGAGTGCATCCACCTACTTGGTACTCGTCAATTCGATGTACCTGCATCTCAATATTAATGTTCACACTGAAACTCGAATCCAGTACTTTCACTCCAAACTCTATAATGTTATCCACTGAGCTACTGAGGTAACCATGATTTTGAGCAACGTATGGATTTTATCTACGAGTGCTTGTGTTAAATAAACTCAAAAAAACTAGAAATCCTATAATTATGCAAGTTTTTCTCCTGTTAGCTTCAATGAATTTTTAACTTAATATGTATATTCTTCCATCAAATGGCTGTCACTGTTTAGTTTTTTATAACTGAGTTGCTTTATTAAAGGGGTACTTACTGTGTTGAAAAATAAAATCGCTATATCAAATACATGAATAAATAATTGAAAGACAAGCTAAATAATAGTTTTACTTCAGAAATTACTTTAAGAAAAGTTCATTGAAGTTTATGTTTATTAAATTAATAACTTCGATCTTATATCCGTCCATGCATATTGTCTATGCAAAATTGTCAATGTGTTTACGTATGTCAATTGTATTGACTATAGGTCACCCATACTCCGTTTGTTCATGATAATAATCACTTGGTTTCAATTCCAAAAAACCGTCTGATTAAACTAGCACATCGTTACGTTTGTTATTAATAATTTTTATTCATAAAAAACATTTTCTTTGCATACGGAATTCATTGTCTGAGTGTTTTCTTGTTCCAACGACATTATACTTATAATGTCACTCTAAATCTGTTCTTAGAGTCACATAGGCGAACTTGACCAAGCCTTGTGCAATACATTTACAGATTATCAATAATGTTACTGATATTTTTTTTGATTCATTGGTTTTAATAGATGATGTCAAAGACTGATATAAGTTAAAAAACCATTTTCATAGTGTTAAACTCCTTATTAGTGAGTATCTACGACCGAACTGGGGATTGAACCAAGAATTTTTAAATCTAGTGACTAGTGTTTACCCTCTAAACCACTGAGTTAGCATCCAATGGTAACGTAGATTAATTCGCATTATTGTGCAACCACTTTCTAGTTCAATTGGTATGTTAATGCCTCGCGCTTAACACGATTGAACTCCAACGGTAACAGGTTTTACGTGGACGTCGCGAATTACTTCTCAAAATCAATGTTTTACAGGTGAAACATTTTTCCACTTTTATAAATACTTCAATATTTGCATAAATTGGATAATGGTAATATTTAATCAGTGACTAGTAATACAAATTGTTCTATTTTGAAAACAATAATTTAAGAACATAACTTAATATAACAAATACGATTTTACTAAACACTATTTAAGAAAGCATTTCATTGTCTTGTTAGTATATCTGAACACTCTATTAACATTTATAACATAATATACTGAGTAAAATTAGAAATGTAAGTGTGTATGTTTCCTTTGACAAGCTGTCTATTGTGTACATTTGTGAAATACTTTCTATTTCTGAATATTTTCAATTCTTTTCAACCAGGTTAATAATACGCCTTTTTTGCTATTTATGGTTATTGTCAATATGCGTGCAACTTATATTAAACACAAAAGAACATTAGTCTAATCTAATCTGTTCACTCTCTTTATCTATCTCTCTTGCTACTTTCTCTTGTCTTTTGTTCACAGAAATGAGGGAAGTTAGGTCATTTAAATTATTGTTATTTTTATCTTTTGTTTTAATCGGTTCAACTTAATCATAATGATCGTCATCATCATCGTTATCTTTTTACAAAGTAACAAACAGAAAAAATAATCAATCAGTCATGTGCGTGCTGACTGGTTGAGTTTCAACTGTTCACTCACTCGATTGATCATTTACTCATTCACTCGTTCATGCAATGGTTCACTTGCTTAGTCATAATTTTTATTTATTATTCTATATATTAGCATATTTAATATATTAAACTATTGAACATGAACAATGATTATTGAAAGAAAGAAATGGTTATTCATTCAATTCTTTATTTTGGCGAGTTATGTACCATTGTTTAGGAGTTTAATTGTCTCTATAAAAACTAAAAACCATTTTTTTTAAATGTTCAAAACCGTATAAAGATATTTTATTACTTAAAGATGTTAGTAGTTTGATAAATTTTAGTGTTGATAAGACATTGAACTTTTTAATTAAATTTGAATAATGTTAAATTGGCAGTTTTTTGACAGAAATACATGAAGAAGCTGTGTAGTTTGACAGTTTGTTTTTGGAAATGTTTACTTATTTTCATTAAGTGAACAATATGGATTGATTAAATCAAAGCTTTGTCTAAACAATTTTTAATGAGATAAAGAATAGTGTCCATAAGTGTAATATAAAATTTATTTTCTAATCAACTATTAGAAAATGGTAAAATGATTAGTATAGTATATAATAGTTTGTATAATCGTTGATTAAGAAGTAACAGATAAGATTTATTTTATCACCTTTTATCCAAACCATGTTGAGAAGTACTTTGGACGCTTAAGAATTGGTTGCAAAATGTTTTAAGCTGTAGAGTTCTGTTGTTTGTCTGTAACATCTAAAAGCACTCATTGAAAGGTATTTTGTTTCTGTAGGTTTGTTCACGATAGTACATAGAGTTTGCTATTGATATTCAAATCTAAGTATTTATTAAGGTGTGATCTATGGTATATTGAATTGAGGTTAGTCATCTGATACTGTTCGACCGATTTATATAACGTTTTCGAATTAATTCATGATTAGATACTTCTTCATTGAAACAGCTCCGAATCAATCGTATTGATAGATTTGTATTTATTTTTTAACTTTTATACCTTACATTCCTAAACATCATTCCTCTCTAACTAGTTCATTCATACTTTGTTTTCCACTGAAGTCGATAGTCTTATTTCGATCATTTTCATTTTAATTTTGTTCACTCCACTCTCTCTATGTAAAAGTATTAAATGTAATAACTTGAATTGATATATATTTCTATTAGATTCTATGTTATCTGCGACTGACTAAATTTGAATTATTCACTAAAATCAGTGATATTTTTTATCAAAACTAACTAGTTCAGTCGTCTTTTATCCACTTTTTAGAATCCAAGATGAAACATACAAATACTAAATCAAGAAATAAGAAATTTTTCAAAAGTCATCTTAAAAAGACATCAAAAAATAGAAATTGTATGAGTTCAGTTTCTTTAAATCTGTACAATCAAATTTCTAATGAAACATTCAATCACACTAAATCAGTTGTTTCACAATATAGTTCTGTTGACACGCAAATGTTCCATATTGATTCAAGATCAAACTCAGATTGTGAAGTAACTAGTAACCACAGTTATTACTGTAAATCGATACCTGATAATACAAGTGAATTGGAACAACGTCAATGGCGAATGCAAGTTAGAACATATTTAAATGCAGCTGAGAAGGCCGAAGAATTAATTCGTAATCGATATTCACCAACTCGGTTTGAATCCTGGTTAGCTGGTTTAGAGGCTTCGAATCTCAAACTTAATGAAAATAATAATAAAAATGATAATCTGGTTGATTCGACTAATAAACAGTTGTTAGAGAAGAAAAATCAAAATAATAATGCTTATAATTTATGTCCTTTATTCATGAATAATTTGGATGGAAAAGATGAAAAGAGAACTTGTCAAGATGATAATGATGATGATAACGATATATCGGCATTGGAAGATTCACATGAACCTTTATTAAATTTTTGGGATGATTATCAGGTAAGTTCGTTTTCTTTTAATTATTTTAAATTATACAAGTTACGTCATCTGATCGAGTAGAGTTATGTCCATGTTATAAGTTGTAGTAATTTTTGCGATACAAGGGATTATTAGTCAAAGTATTTAGTGTTTAATTGTTAGATTTTAAAGTGGAATCCGCATTCCATCAATTACTGTTCGAATTTTCAAATAGTATTTCAGTAAACAAGAACGCAGGTAAGGACATCGCATTACATTCATCACAAAATTACTGATTTACTTGATAAAATAGAAAACTCATACTCCTATACTACATTTAGTGGGACATAGACTGGATTAAAGCATGCTCAATGCACGATTACTTTGGCTAATTCTTATCCAATCAGCACTGGTCGATACTTGGAGAATACTCTAGAATCTTCTCATGTAAAAACTATAAATATACTAACGTTTTCCCTATTGTGCTTCTTACTTTTATTAAATCTTGTTATTTGGAATATAATCTCTTTCCTGTTCAACCGTGTTCTGATTTGGGGACTTGTCGAGTGAATCGGTGTCCGAGAATACTAAGCAATAGGAATAGCTGGGTCATAACCGCAAGAAAGAGAAATATAATAACTTCATTTGCAAAATGTTCCCTAATTGTCTCAAACTTCATTGTTCCTGCATTTCCCTACCAATTTTTTTTGTTCCCATTTTCCCTCCTCCATCTTCTCAACCTTCTGCTGTCAGGCATTCTGATCCTCATTGACATTATATACTACTTATGTCGACACACCACAGCATCACTAAGCGATACACAAAACGGTGTTCTCTAAATCTAAGTATATGAATTTGAATTTCATTAATGAGTTGTGTTAGGTCGAGATTTATTTTAGCTATAAATAATAAAGTAAAGAGGATTTTCTCGTGCTAAATTTCCATTACCAAGTAACTGAATCTCTTAAACGATCTACCATAATCTTACTCTGCCTTATCCAAGTTGGGATGTGTTTCTCTCCTCTAAATGCGAGTTGTTGCTCCAGGACTGACCTCAGTCAACACCTGAACTAAGGATAGGGAGTGAATTAGTCGAACGCGTCGACAACTTCACTTATCTTGGAAGTATGATCAACCCTAATGGGTTCGTGTCTGACGAAATCTCAGCACGGATTCGAAAAGCTCGTTTGGCTTTTCCCAACTTACGTCGCCCATGGCGCAGGCGAGATGTCCGTCTATCAATTATGGGACGAGTATACTGCGTAGCAGTTCGTTCTTTTCTACTTTACGGCTGCGAAATGTGGCCATTAAGAGTAGAAGATACTCATAAGCTACTTGTATTTGACCATAGATGCCTTAGAAATATTGTTCGCATCTTCTGGGACCACCGGGTAAGTAATAGTGTGGTTAGACGCAGGTATTATGGATTGATGGTAAATCAGTTGATGAGGTTGTCAATCTTCATCGACTGAGATGGATGGGTCACGTGTTACGTATGCTTGAATACCGATTACCACGATGTGTAATGCTGACTAGTGTTGGAGACGATCAGAAGAAAATTGAGGCCGGCCAAACCAAACCGTGTCGTCAGTCGTTGAAGTTACTAACTTTCCGTTTGAGCCATGTTGGTAGATGCAGACTACTTGGTCGGGGTCTGCGTGACTATCGTAACCAATGGTTGGAGACTCTATGTGACATGGCTCAGAATCGTAGGCATATACACTCTCTGTCTTCCTTTAAACTGTGAGATAAAAATTAATTTATCTTTTTTCCTACGAACAATTTTTTTCTCCCTGTACTATATCCTTATATACAATCTTTCTTTTATATATTACTACCACTGGAGTAATTGCTACTATGAATATGGTGGTCATCGTTTTATGCTAATGAGGTGTATCAACTTGGACTGATACATACATGTACCTAGTCTTACGTTGTAGCTGAGTGACTATCCAAAGTATTCTAATTAAAATGCTTTCAAATTTGATATTACCACTAAGTGTTTATCACTTTATTGGAATCAGTAGATTATATGTCGGTAATTAAACTGTAAATTTCTAGTTTAGACACTTAATTTCTGAACTCTATTTCATTTGATTTCTCATATCGGGTTTTGTATGATAGATGTGACATAAGTTTACTTCCTCTTAATACGTTGTATGTAGTTGAAAAAAATCGTATTTTTTGAGTGGCTGCTTAGTGGTTAAGGCATTGAATTTTTACGCACTAACCTAAAGGTCTGAATCCCTTTCTACCTACTCTTCTTTGGGCAACTGGACGATATCACTAGGCCTCATACACAGAGTTTGGTTCGAATCCATTTACGTTATTTTGTACCTGACAAATGAATTAACTAACTGAGCTAGAAATCACTATAGGACTTGTCATATATTCAGTAAATAAATAAATATATATCAGAATAAACCCTATCTTACTGTCCTTCGAACTCTACTTAGATTTAAATGAATTATCTTTTTCTGTTTCTTGTTGTAACCTGTCAATCTTATTTTTGTCATTTATTGTCTATAGCAATATTTTTTCCGTATTTTCAGGCATCACTTTACTCTAATTCCAGTGATACTCAAGCTTATGAACCACCAAATATGTATGCTGAAGAATTTCCGTGGGATGATGTCGGAACTTCATTCTTTAATGATATTGAACGAGAACTGAACTCACCATCTTTACACAGTCATACAGAACCAAAGAAATTTATGAAATCGAATTCTTGTAGTATTATAGAGGAAAATGACTGTTCCAGAAATCAAGGACAAGATACGAATGATATTCTTTCTACATCTACATCAGGCTTATTCAATCGAAAAAGTAGTTTAGATGCAAGTTTTGAAGTTTGCAATAACACGTCAATATGTAATACTCATGGAGCAGAAAGTTGGTCTGCTGAGCATACAGATAATTTACTCAGTCCGGAATCATCTGTTCGCGGGCTGCGTACATGTCCCGATGGCGGTTCACAGCATTTACCAAGTATAGATACAATGGATGTCATATCAAACGTAAGAAATTTCTGTTAAATTTTATTAGACTTTCCAATGAGAAGTAATTAGTTTCAGTGTTAGGAAATGAAATTACTTTTCAAATATTAGAATTAACCTATGATTTCGATAAATCTTAATGACAGCTAGAAATACTTTGTATATTCGTTTGCCTGTCTCGTTATGTGAATATTGATTGTTATGTAGGTAAATCACATTGAACTTATATTTGTATAGTAGAAGCTATGACAATAAATACCACTCTGTGCTATCACATAGTACTTTTGACTATATACTGTCTTTGTTTACTTCTTTGAAACTTTTAAAGTCTGAGTTCAAAATGTTCTTTTTCTATTGTCTCTGGATTGTAACATCTTGTAATTGATTAATATTATGTATGTGTGTAACTGTGTACGATTTTATTGATTTGTGCATATTTTCTACAATATAATGTTAACAGTTTTACATATAAACGTTGGTGTGTTTAATACAATGAATCAAAACTTTTTTTAGAATAAAAATTAAATCTAGAAATTACTAAACAGGTCATTTCTCAACATTATCCTTTTCAGTTAGTCAGTCAGTTACAACGTAGGACCAGGCACATATATACATCGATCCAATTTGCCATACCGCATTAGCACAGCGGTGTCCTTCTCATTTCTAATCAATAGAAATTTACCTGATATTACTTTTACTGATTTTGTTGAGTTTTTCAATTTTTCAGATCTTTCTTTACTGTTATACATTCTCAAAAAAAAATGTATAATTGATAAGTGTTAATTGACCCTAGTAATTATTATTTTTGTCCTTAATCATCTGTAATTATTGTAAATATTCAACAAAATTATTTACACGCATGATTTTTTTTCTCTTTTTTACTTCATGTTAATCTTGTGTCGTTTTTTTTTCTTTGATTTTTTATAGCATGAAATTCAAGACATCAAAAATTGTTTATATCCTATGAGTAGTTTCAGTGAACATTTTAATTCTTCTAACTATACATATTACACTAGATATCATAACAAACGATATAATAAATTGTATGAAAGAAAATATCAAACAATTCCGCATATTATCAATCGTAAACGAAAAGCTCAGATCAATTTATTTCAGTCAGAAAAACAATTGAACAAACGTGAATTTTTATCACTTGATGGTTGTCTTAATCGTTTGGATGATCGATATTTCAGTGATATTCATAAAGGAATTCTGGAACATTCTGGAACAAGACTTCTGCACGCGAAAACTTATTTACAAAAATTAATAAATTCAATCAAGAGAAATAGTAGTGTACAACGAAGAAGTATGTGGGTTTTTTTTCCACTTACTACTTTAAACTATCTTCTTCGAATTATTTATTATGACATTTGCACAGAAATAAATAAGATACATGTTTATACTTGAATTTTAAACTGGTATCTGTTGAAACCTGGCGTTAGAATTGCAAAATAATTAGTATAGCTTTGCTTTTCTCAGTATAACATACGTTGGGGAATTGTCTACAAAATTCTTTTTTTTTGATTAATCTCGATGTGTGAAGCCATACGATATCAGTTAATTTAAAATATTAACTGGAATCATTATGATTAGTATTCAAACTATTATTTACTTGCTAAATACTGCCTATAACATCCCGTAAACAACGAGCGTTTAAGTTCACAAAATCTGCTTCAAAAAAATAATAATCCAGTAGATAAATAATTGGTTTAGATGTTGGATAATAGGTGGTAGTCAGCAGGAATCCTTGTTTCTGGATTTTGTGCTCGTTGGCATCAATTATCAAAGCACACTCCTAACTCAGAGAGATTCGCACTCGCGTCACCCGTCTCTACAATCTGGGGAGTTATCTCTATCAAACACCAAAATATATCTAGTCACTCAGACTAGAAACCATATCATAACGTATCGACGAAGTACAATCAACAATAGTTACTAAATAAACAAAACACTGGTTATTATTCAGTGATTAATCAATGTAAATATTCAATCCTCATTAAAGAAATAAATGCCTATTGCTACTATCCCCTGATGCATTTGTATTATTAAATTTTTCGATTTCTAAGGTAACACGTTTGTTTACAGAATCTACAGAATTTATTTGTGAACGGTTTTCTCTTGTACAATCCCATTTCTAATAAATCCATGTTTTCTTTGAGTTAGATTACCATATAATAATATTTATAGTTATTTAATAAACATAGAGGTCCCCATAAAAACGCATTCCATTGATATGCGTAATTCGTAGATGATATCTAGGTAACACTTGTATTGGAAGTTAAATAGTAAATATGATTGAGAGGAATTGCTAACAGGAAAATAAAGAAGACAGTAGAAAACGTGAAATCATAAAAATTACAATTTGCTTATGAGTATCTTTTCAAAATGACTTCTAATTCAAGTAATATGGATTGATTCCGATATGTCATTTCAATATGTGTGAGAATAATTTTAGTTTCCGTTGACAATTTGAACTGGTATTAGTTTACTGAACAGCTAATTATAATTTAATCGTTTTGTTATGTTTAAAGTAATGTTATGTGTGAATTTTAAGATCCATTTTTCTGTTCATTGTACATTATAAGCCATGTTTTAGATCAGATTTTTACTTATTAACTGTCCCTTTAACCCCCAATTGCGCTCAAATCTACTGCCATCTGATATATTAATGATATTGATTATTTTGTTAATAAATAATACATAGGTGCTAAATACGAGTACTGATCTTGTAGACAGTGTTTTATTTTTGAGTCATGCAAAACACTAATTACCGACAACTTGCTAACATGATCGTTTTGATAAATCTGGAGAGTGTTCTTCATAAATATATATTGGTTGTAGCATTAATGTAATCTAAATGGAGAACCAGTCAATTGTCTTTCTTTGAACTCTGGGACAATCAACGTATTACAGAACATCTTGATGATATAAGAGAACCATACATTAAATGCTACAGTTACAAATTCCCATCATTTGTCGTTCACATTCTTCACAACTCTTCCGATTCAGAATTTCTCTCCAATTCCGTTTCTGTTCTCTTTAAGTCGACCTTCATAACCTTTTGCCATCAGGTTTTCTACTTCCAGTAGGTGTTACATACTACTTATGTCTGTTGACTTAAGTAGCATACATCACATTTACACGTGCCGTTTGTTAATTGAACGAATTGGGCTTTATAATCATAAAAACAAAAGAATCGTAGTCTAATGAAGCAGTTTGTAGCGATATATCAACTTACACTTCACAAAATTCAATCGATCATCTCAACAAAGCCATTAAAATTACAGACTTCATCTATGATGATAATAATAATAATAATAATAATAATAATAATTTGTATTGGATATTTGTCATTGATTCGGCCATCTATTTGTCCATATTTTATAAATAGATCTTTCGAAGCAGATAAACTCAAGCAGTTGGCGTCATCGTACTGATCTTCTGTTGCAAACTACTGACGCTCATGTGAAATTGCTTTCTAATTTACTTGATGATCTCAAGTCTTATTGCTCTTCGAATGTCTCTGAATTGTCAGATGGTAAGTTGTTTTCTTTTCAATTCTATTAACTGTATTTAGTTTTTATTTGCTGCTGCAAAACAAAACATGTTTAAAGCAAATTCAGGCCTTCAAATATGCATATGTCTTATATAATGTTTAATTGGAGTAATATTTTAGCTTCTTCATAATTGTGAATCACAAGTCAAAAAGATTAGTATTAAATTTTGTAACTTCTTACCTGATTGATATCAAGAAATATATTCTAGTTTTACTTTAAATATGATATGAATTGGGAACAGACCAATTGTAAGCGGATAATTTGTTTATTTAGTGGTTAAAGTAGCGGTATATATTGGAAACAAAAATGAGTTGATAGAAATCGTTCATTTTAAATGACGGTTGATAGTTACTGTGACCCATTAAAGATTTAAAAGTCAATTTCAAGTGTAACTATCACTGATAATTACAGATCAATAGTGCATATAAAAGCATCATTCTAGGTAAATGTTCACCATAGGGGACCAGTCTTCATATAGCTCTAACTTGGTTCCTAAATTTGTTTAGACCTGTGGTAGAAAATCTGTTGTCAGCATCGAATGGATAGATTTAATCTTTATTTTTTAATACCTTTATGACTAAATAAAACCCTACTTCAAATTCTTCGTTGTTTGTTTGTCTTCACGCATTGTTTTTCTTTATAAAATTGGACAACAATTCAATTTATTTCCATACAATATATTTCAGTGCATAGTTTAATTTGAGCAAGGTCATAAATCACAGCTAAATTTATTTATCATTGAATAATTCGAAACATGTTTCATTGTAAACAGATTTTGAAAACGTTTATTTTGTAATTTATTAAACATAAAAGAATGGTTGATCTTTTTTATTCTTCTATCGATTAAAGATTAGCTTATAAGTGTTCAACGTTTCGAACTTTCATAATCATGATGCATAGATATCACGACATGTGATAGAGTTTTAATGAAAAGTTCATTTTAAGGATCTCATAAGATTATAAAATAAATCGAGTAGACAGTAGATTATATATATAGCATAATATTAAATATCATTACGCAACTTAAAATACGGATTAACTTGGTCTAATTGTTATAATCTCAGTTCTAAGGTACTGTATTATGTAACAAAGACTCTAACAAGTTAATTGTTTTTTTTTTAAAGTTAACAATAATATTTACTAGTCGTGGATAGTTTAAATAAAGACACACTGTACCCATATTTTCAAAGAAAATCTTACACGTAATAGGAAAAATTTATTCTTTGAAACGCTACTTCCTTTTAAAAGCACTTTCATTAGAAACAATCTATTATATATAGATGTAAGCACTGAACATGGTCATGGTCGTACTTATTTCATTGAACAGATGCCTGATATCGTGTGTAATAGATATCTTATCAGGCAGTCTACTTTATTACATAGTTGTTAACGTTAGTAATTGATGTTAAACAATTTCAGCAAACTATCCTCATTGAAAATTCCAAAGATTTTAGGCATATCTCATCTTCTATAACATCATTAAACGAGTAATTTTATATTAAGCGTACATGTCTATGTGAAACAACTACAACTATCGGCCATTTCCATATGATTAATGTAATGTTCATAAAATATTACCCTCATTTAAATAAACACCGTATTTTTTTGACTAAGTGTGTTTTTTATTGTATGAAGGCTTGATTTTCACTAATTTTAACGTCGAAAAATGGTAATATTTGATCATTCTAGAATGACTATAATCAATTCGTACTTTGTTCAGAAAACACTTTTTCTCTTTGTTGACAAAACAGCCTATTCATACTAGTATAATGAAATGATTAATAAAGAATGGCTTTTAATTGTGAAAAACATTTTTTGAATTATTTTTGTGAAAACTTTCGTGTTATGTTCAATTCAATTATCAATTTTGTAATTTTCATTTCAGACAGAATATCAGCTTCATTTATACAAGATTTAACATCCTGTAAAGATGATAATATTTATGTTAAAACTGATAATACTGATGATAGCCATGATTATTCACCATATCGTTTAATTATTTTGAATGCTTTAAAATTAAAATCGCAATGGATTAATTTCTCATCTACTTTACGTCACATTTATCACCAATCGAATCAGTATGAAGCATGGAAGAAACAGTTATATATTCTTCAATTACGTATGCATGATTTAAGTAGACTTACACGTCAAATTGGTCTGTCAATGTATACAAATAAAGAGGTGAATAGTGCGAATCCTAATAACGTCAATACTCGTCATATTTGTGATTTGATAATATATGATGAAAATCAGTCAGATAAAATTGCCAATGGCTTTAAAGTAAGTTGTACATAAGGTGATGAACTACAGTTTTATTCGACAAATAAACTAAATTTTCAGAAGAAAATATTTTGTGAAATTTTGCAATAAATACATGCAAGTACAAAGTCTATTTTAACCGATAAAGAAAGAGAGGGGACTTATTCAAACCTGACTGGAAGCATCAGTTCCCTCAAGATTGCAGGTATTTATTGTATTAGGATGACTAGCATTAAAACCCAGGTTCACAATTTACCATCCACCACCAAATATCAAAGCATAGTGCACATAATGTCGAGTCACTTAGACTAGTGGTTACATTGTAAATTGGTCAACGGAGTTTGACCAGCATTATAGGGCTAGATAAACACTATTCAGTGATCGACCAATATCACACATATTGTCCAATTTGACTGAGCAGTCTTATTTAACCATACATCATGGTTGTAATGGATTTATATTCATGATTAAGTTATATCATAATTAAGTAGATGCTCTTAATGATAAAACATTTACTCATTGATCATTGACTTCCAGAAGTGGATTTGAAAAGGGGAATGGTAATGTGTTGATGTTAACCTTATTAAGAGTATAGTCTCGAATTACTAATAACATTGAATGGAGATAAGCTTATGTCACGATTTAACTGTAGATGAAAATATAGACGATTCACTTCTAGCTCAATAGTTTGGAACTGTCATTTATGTCTTGAGATCTTGCATTCTTGATTTCATTCTTGTGTTAGATTATGAAGTATACTTTGGTGAAGGTTTTTAAAGTTGAATATGATTACGATTCAGTGTCTTCTGGTATTTAGACATTATTAATCTATTTTTCCGTTTATAATAAAAACTACTTCAGTGTATATGCAAATAGCTCAACGAAAATAAGTTGAGCTTTTCTATTTTAAAGTAAATATGAATAGGTTTATGGGAGGCCAGGAGAGGTCAAACTAAACCATTCCATCTGTATATGAAAACAATGACTGTTGAACTTAGTCATGTTGGTAGATGTAGAGTCCATATGGCTGCACTACTTAAACGAACTTCTCCAAATAAACAGCGAATGTTGCTTGATTCTACTTTACTTGGAAGGATTCAACAATATGCTACCTTTAGTATATTCAGAATCGAAATCACTGAAATCATATTTATCTCATGATAAACACCTCAATATATATATATATATATATATATATATATATATATATATATATATATATATATATGTAATTTTAAACATAAATCACAGTCTGTTTGTTTAACTAATGTCAAATGTGATTTGTATCTGATTATTTGATTGATTAAACTAGTAAAACAGTGTAAAAATACAAGTTTCATTTTTTTTTCAAAGATCAGTATCAAAGTTCAATTACTTTTAATCGAAAAAATTTTTTCAAAGAATTACATTGATAATTTCATAGTTTTATGGGTATAATTATTGTGTTATAAAATGGAAATAAACTTTAAATCAATAAATAGGGTACATTTCATGTGATTGTGAATAGTTTTACTTTCTCACTGTAAGGAAAGCATTTTAGATATACCTGATTTATGAGTAATTTTTTGTTACTACAAACAATTGACATAGAAAATAAATGGATCTTCGCTAGCAATAGAATTCAGAACGGGAGTTATGCTCTGTTTGGAATTCATCTGTATGAACTCAGTGACTCACTAAATGACTTGTTGGTATTTGACATCATCAAAAATTTTCCTAATCAACTGGTTCACATTTCACTATGAAATTAAGGCATTGGTAATTTAATTCTTAAAATTGTAGAAAGTATATAACGCTTTAGCTCCATCATTATCGTTCTCTGGTTTCAACTCTCACCATTTATGACGTTCTATTCATCTAGCTTAAAGCATAGCAAACCAGTTGAGTACGTTATTATATGACTCAAGCACTGAATATATATATATATATATAATGGGTTTTATATTTGTCTAAAATTTATTGCTTTTTTTAAATCTCCTACTTTATTATCCTTTTTCCACACGAAAACGTGTACTTTTTTTCAAACCTAAATCTCTTTTATTTAGAGGTGCTTTCTAGAAGTGGATAGCTTGAATTTTGCTCTGGAGGAAATGCAGAATGAGTTGAATAAAGAAAATTGTCAGATGTCAGTAAACAATAACAATACTTCAGCTACAATCTGTAATACGATTGGCTTGGATGGGGAACTACTTTATGAGATTGATCGTCTTTCAAGTCAGCTGGCTATTAATCGATCCATGTAAGTACGTATTTCTAACTGGTTATTGAGTTAGAAAGTTAATTGTTTCATCAAAATCATTTATTGTTTTCTGCCGACATATATATTGTTACTAACGTATTCATGCATTCACTGGAAACAAGTGATATCTCAATGTGTTCCATTCCACTGAAGATTTGGTTAAGATACGTAGACGACACTTTTGTCACTATAAAACGAGATGGTTTAGACGAACTATTTCAACGTGTCAACAACATTTATGACAAAATCAAGTTCACTAAAGAATTGGAATCTTCTGAATGCAAATTACCGTTTCTAGACCGCTTAGTTGAAAGGAAGTGTGATGATTGTTTAAAAATTAGTATTTCCCTAAGGCCGACATATTCAAGGAAATTTCTAGATTTTAAGTTGGCGCGTCCACACTCTACCAAAGTGACAGTAGCCAAAAATTTGATCACCAAAGTCAAAAAACTTGTCACTGAACCAGATGATATAAAAATGGAAATGAATTTAATTGTATCCACTCTAATAATGAATAATCATCCGAAGGATTTTATCAAAAGAGTAATTAAGAATGAAGAACAAAGCGATATTTAGAAAAAAAATTAAGCAAAAAGAATGGATTAACAAAGTGGTGATCTCATATCATAAATTTATTTCAGAAGAGATCAGAAGGACTCTAAATCTTCAAAATATAAGAGTATTCTTTCGAAGAAACAATACTCTAAGATCAAAACTAGTAAGAATCAAAGATGCAATTCACAAAGAAGAACAACGGAATTGTGTTTACGAAATCAAATGTAATGACTGTAATGCAAAAAAACATCAAGGCAACTGAATGTGAGGGTGAAGGAACGAAAACTGTGCTTAAAGCCATTCCTAAATCATCAGATGACGTAAGGAAACTTGAGAATAAATCAGCGATAGCATTACACTCGATAGAATTAGATCATACAATTGATTTCAATTGCTCAAGAATCATTCAGAAAGGCTTTAATTCTTACAAAGAACGACTAACAGCCGAAGCCCTACATATATGCTTTTATTGATTCTTTTCCACATTGTCTTTTTGTATCCCTGATGTAAATTTACTGAATTTACAAGAAACACCAAAAATTAAGAATTATTATGTACTGTATCCTAATTATGTTTTGTAATTTTCCTTATCACAATTTTGAGTATCTTTTAAGATATAACCTTTAGTTTTCTGTTCTTTATGTAATTCAAAATAAATATCAATTGCAATCACGTATATTGGATATTTAACCACAATTTGAATCCACAAAATATGTAAACCCATCTCTTTTTTTTTATTTTTCATAAATTAAACTTTATATGACATATTACTAAGACATGAGATATACTACTGATTATTAGCGATAATATTTATCTTTTTCTATCTTCTTTATTGTTAGCCTTCAAAGACTGATTCGATTGTTTGAATCAAATCATTCAAATAATCCTCCTACTCATTATCACTTAGATAATGAATATTTAGTGGATAGCACAGAAAATCAATTGGAAACTTCTTTTGTTAATATTGATAAAAGTACATCGGAACAACAAGTCAATGAAGTCTATACAAATGAGGTAATTTAAAATTATTCCATATGTTGTACATAATTAGAAAAAAAACACATTTTATTCTTATTCTCTTCTTTGTTTGTTTGTTTGGTTAGTTGAATATTACAGTGATTGAATATTTGAATAATTTTTAAGTGATTTGAAAAAGTTTTGTTATGTTGATCATTTGAAATTGTTGCTGAATCAGTTGTTAAAATACTGTGAAACTTATGTGAATTACAATTATTATTATTATTATACTCCATTTTACATTGTTTTAAATATCTAACCATCAATTGTTTAAGTGAATAAGTTAAACGCGTCAACAGATAGATAAACAGATTATACTTTTACATATTTAATCATCGTCGAACTTAACAATGTGATAGTGAATAGAACAGTTCAATGAAAAACATTCAATTAATTAAGGAAATTACACCATAAAATGTATATGTGAAGTCATTGTGATTACTGATTTGAATGGTTTATAGTGTTGCTTCAAAATGTAATTCATAGAAATATAATTGATTATATTTAATTTTGATAGAATAACATAGTATCTTATCTTAATTAAAGATAGATGGTAGCTAGCAGTGGGATTTAGAAGGAACGTCTAGTCTTAGTTGGGACTCGTCAGCTTGATGTACCTGCATACCATATGAATCACTATCCTATTATTTAAGTTCTATGTTTTACTATGTACTTTTTATTCCAATTCTGCCATGTTTTTCGTTTTATGAGGTGTTAAGATGTTGGGGATAGTCGGAAACCCTAGCCTTGGCATCCTTCAGTAAGTCATATATGCAACTGATGCTTTCTGTAGGGTTCGAACCAAACATCCAGCTGTTTAACATCATAGCATAGTCTATGCAATATCGATTCACCTAAGACTTGATTGTTAGGAGTTGATCAGCACTAAAAGACTAGACATATGTGACATTAGTTTGGTGATATATCAGTGATTAGTAAATAAACACGTCTTTATCTACAGTCTTTCTTTCTTCATTACATCGGGATAGTAGTCTTATTCTATTGTAGTAAGTCGTAAATAACAGTTATTCCACAGTCATGTCTAACAGTTGTACTGACAGCAGTATAAGTATTTTTATCAAATCACAACGATTTTTTTTTTCAAATTATGAATTTTCTTTTCCTTCTTATTTTAGCATTTATTTGAACGTAAATCAGTTGAAAATCATAATCATCAACAACATCCTGTTAGTGTTTCAATTTCTACAACTGAAAAAACTCCATCAATTTATTCATCCATTTGTAATTGTTTACTTCGAATATTCCCATCCACTAATAGTCAGAATTATTTTATTCTTCTAATTAGTGGTTTCATATTCTTAGCTTATTTATCCTATTATATTTTAGGTAGATTAGTTGCATGTAACAACTATTTTCGTCGTCCACCTTCTACTACTGTTTCTTCATTACGATGTTTTTATGATTTAATCAATAATAATAGTGATGATAATAATAATGATAATGTTCAAGGTGCTACCGCATTCGGTAGATGTCCATTAGAAAGAGACAGATTATCAAATATCATTGATTATATTAATGGGGCACAACCTTATTAAATCTATAAAGTCAATTATCAGTTAGTGCTCCTTTTTATAATCTGCGCCAAATAGGTTTCCATTTTAAGATTGATAAATATCAAATGAGAAATATATCAACGTACTTGATTACTGTACAAGAACTTAATGAATGTTTTAAAGAAGTTTATCTTCAACGAACAAATTTAAAATCAACATTTCAATAATGTCACTTTATCATTTTGTGTACGTTGTCTATGCATGTGTTTGTATAATGGCTTTCATGGATGGATGTGGCCTTAAACACTGATCAATGTTCCCTTTTTTTATTGATCAAACTAGGATTAAACTATGGATGATCATCAACAGTTAGGCAAAACATTTTCACTTCTTTTCTAGCTTTTTTTCTGAAGAGAAAAACGATATTTTCGTTCTTCCTCCAATCTCTTTTGTATTTTCAATGCTATGATGCTATGAAACACTAATCTTAGGATATTTTGTATGTAGAAATTTCGCTATTTATTAAAAGTTTAGGATAATTTTGTACCTAATTGTAAATATTAAAAAAATAATGATGGTATTAGTAATAACTACTAGCACTGCTATTACTACGAATCCCCTCCCTAAAATTGTTATTACTACCATTATATAATTAGAACTACATATATAAACCTTTAGTACCGTTGTCCACATTTATATTCACAACAACCATCAGTTGTAAGTAACTTTGTGTCCAGTCTTTATTCTTTTTATTTTCGATTTGGCATTTGAATTGTGCAATGACAAGTTATATCTCTATTATTTATAATATTTCTATAATAGATAATATAATGCATACATATGATTACTTGGGGCATGGATATAACTTTTCTTTCCTCAGTTTTGATATTGATTTTTCTCTTTTTTTTGTTTTTCTATTAACATGATGATTATTCATTTATCTAATCATATATGTGCATGTGTATAACTTAACTTTTCTCATTATTTGAAACAAAAATTATCAGAAATTCTATTGTACTTTTAAATTGAATTGAATTTTTTAATGAGATCATGAACCGATTGATGTTTGACTACCTAGAAATACTGGATCGCCGTTTTGTCCTGTTGTGGGACTTCTCAGCAGTGCGCAACCATGATCCCGCTCGCGGAATTTGAATCTAGGGCCCTCGGTCACGCGCGCGAACGATTAGTTTCTAGACCATTGATCTGGCATTCAACGGTATAATGTCTAACCTCAACCACACAAGATAGAGACTATAATTTTTATTTTATTAGGACGTCTGTTTCTAATGATTGCATGATTCTTTGTGTATCATCTTCAATTATTCATAATGTTACGATTATGCGTGGCCAATAATATGGCTCATTGTAGACACAGAAAGTGTATAATTACATTGTTTCCACCAAACATTTAGTCTGAAGATGGCACAGGTATTCAGTGTTTGACAACGCTTTTACCAGCAACACCTAATATAATTTGTACCCCTTGAGAGAAATCAAAAGACAGAGTAGAGGAGATCGGAAGAGTGTATTTGGCGATTACCAATATATCGGAATTCTGTGATCTAATCTGGCTAGCGATTGCGGTAGATTTTGAGCACAGCGTTACCACACGTGATCTGGTGCGGATGCATGACCGAGCGCCTTTAGGTAGATGAGTCAACTAAAACATATGGTCAGCATCCAATGTCGAAAACTTACAGAGCTATTTATTTTGGGGATTTATTTACCGCTACGGATCACTCCCCCCATAGTGGGGCAGTGATGACCCTAAGACGTGGCCAACAAGAAGTTTAAACCCAACGAGTTTGTCGTTGGTAGACACTCTTCTGATAGCTTACTAGGTTTAGCAGCGTCTGGTCGTCTTTCCTTACTATATGGGACCGAGGTACAACATAGTAAAAAAAGAAAAAGTACAATGAAAATTTCAGCTCGTAAACTTCATCGTTCTTTTCCAACAGTCCTGGAAAAGAAAAAATAAGTGCATGTCGACATACACTCGTATGTGCGTAAAAACAATGTCGGCGAAAAAAAAGGGAAATAAACTCAAGCACACGTAACAGCGTTAAAAAACGTTTTAATGTTTTTTGTTCGTTTTTTCTAAAATAAAAATATAAGCATATTAAAATATTTTTAAATTATATTATATATCGTAAAAAGAAAGATCGAGATAATATAAAATGTCGAGTAGTGCCTTACGTTCAGTAGTCGTTTAAATGTTCTGGAAATCTTACTCTTCTTCCAGAACGCCTTATTTTAAGTATATTTTCTGATACTGTCGAAGTGTCATCGTGCGTGTTGGTTGTTGGATGATACATTATAAGTGTCTGAATCGTGTCGTTTGATTGTACCGAAGGAAATTCGACGTAGATAAGATTTCGGTATAAATACGCAGCTTTGAGGTGATTGATGCTGATGCTATCATTTGTTCCGTTTTTATCGACTATATAGCACTTGGATTCACGTTGAAAAATTTTGAAAGGTCCTTCGTATGCTGATTAGAATAGTCATCGATGTGCGTCTCGACGAACGAAAACGTGTGTACTATATTGTAAGTCAGGTTGAACGAAAACATCGGTGGATTGTGATCGAGTGGAAGCAGGTTTAACTGGACGCAGCGCGTTTGTAAGCCTGTTCGTGTAGGAGGTTAGATCCGTGTTCATTGAAGTGGATGAAGGATCCACGAATTCTGGAAGTCGAAGTGTCGAGTTGAGCCGCAGAGTATCCAATGTAAGCTTTTACTGCATCGCGGATACCTAGTAAGACGAGTGGAAGAGTGTCAGTCCACTGAGAAATGTTTGCAGCTGATAGTGAAACTTTTAGTTGTCGGTGAAAACGTTCTACCAACCTGTTTGCTTGTGGGTGGTAGGCAGTCATTTGGAAGCAAGTGATTCCTAAAAGTGTGGTCAGACAACGGAAAAGTTAAGATTCAAACTGTTGTCCGCGATCTGTAGTGATGGTTGAAGGGAAGCCGAGGCTTGCTACTCATCGTCCGACGAAGGTGTTTCAGCAGTGATGTTCTTGATAGGCACTCCTTCTGGCCATCGAGTGAAACGGTAAACTCAGGTTAAGAGATAAGAGTATCCATTTGAATCTGGTAAAAATCCTGCCAAATCCAGATGAACGTGGTCGAAACGAGCAGCGGGAGTTTTGAAAGAGCCTGAGGGACATATATTGTGTCTCATGACCTTAGATTTTTGGCAGCTTACATAGGAGCGTGCCCACTCCCTTACGTCTTTATTCATGTCAGGCCAGCAAAACCGTTCTGCTATGAGCTTGATGGTTGCACGAACACCTGGATGAGAAAGTTTGTGCAACGTATTGAAGACGTTGCGTCAATTATGTCTCGGCACGATTGGGCGATCCCTACCTGTAGATGTGTTACAAAGCAAGGTTTCCTCACCTGTTCCTATTTGTTTGATGCGTAGTTTAAGGGTTGTAGACGATAATTTGAGCTAAAGTTCAGTGTCTTCTTTTTGAAGCTCGGCCAGTTTAAGAAGGTCGATTCCGTGAAAACTGTTCAAAGAAGTTATGCAAGATAAGGCGTCTGCAACTACATTGTTTGCTCCAGAGATGTGTTAAATGTCTGAAGTAAACTGCGAAATGTAGTCCAGTTGTCGAGACTCACGGGGAGAGTATTTGTCTGAAGTGGAGCTTAGGGAGAAGGTGAGTGGCTTATGATCAATGAAAAGGATGAATTCACGACCTTCGATGTAGTGTTGAAAATGTCGTACAGCACAATACATAGCTAGGTGTTCCCTACCGAATGTGCTGTACCTTGATTCGGTGTCTAGCAACCGTCTAGATAAAAATGCCAAAGTATGCCATAAGTGGTTAGCCCATTGTTGTAAGACTCCTCCGATTGCTGAGTCGGATGCGTCTACTGCGATATCAATGGGTGCTCGTGTGTCCTGATGTGCAAGAATTGTTGCTTTAGCGATGAGTTCCTTAATTGTGAAGAATGGTTTTCTTGCGATGTAATCAGTTACAAAGTCTTCATAGTGGTAGGAGTTCATTTTAAAATCTGTTAATTGAGATTTTGAAACTCTTCTGTCACAACCGGTGAGTTTTATATACTTGGGCGCCACTAAAAAAGTGATTTATTCATAGAATGATCAGGCCAGCATGCAAATAAAGCGGATGAATTAATCTATTTTCACACTCATATATGTAGCCGTTGACTGTTGCCGGCAAAACACGATTATTGGCCTTCAATGAAAATGTCTTTCATTGAATGAAGTTTTTGTTTAGAAAGCATCTAAATGCAGGTTTTTTTAAAATATTCAGGTCCTGCAGTTCTGTGTGAAGAGTTACCACTAGCGATGTACATAAATTTTCAATGTCCATCATTATCATTCTACTTATTGTCACATCCGAAGTTGAACACACGTTTCTCCAAAAGTGTTCACGGTAATCTGAATAATTTTTTATTTCGATGCAAACGTTTTCACGGTTCGGAACACTCAGACTACAATATGCATAGTTTAAATCACATTGTTGCCGACCTCGTTAAACATGGTTGTTTGGGATCGTTTTATCCTTTCCTTTTCGGTCGTATGTGAGAGAAATTAGGTGTTCAGTATGCTGCAGAGACGTGGAGGCCAAACAGGTTGCAGCAATATGCAAAAGAAGTTTACTTTGGAAGTGTATTGAATCAGGGCATGTCATGTAATATAACTGAATCTAAAGTTAGTTATGATTTCTCTAAGGAAATCATTAATTGCAGACACTAGACATTTTCCACTATAAGGTCTTTTATTTAGTTATTGCAATCAGCCTACCTGGGTTCGTTACACATATTGTCGAAGGTGGAAGGATTACGTTATGGACATTCAGTAAACCCTATGATTTCTTCATTGACCTCTTTTCTTCCTGCACCATAAGTAAATGTAAATGCTCTATTGTAAACCATGAGTGTATACCGATTACCATGACAGATATACTTTACAGGTGTATCTCTATCCTTCACACAATATTATGAGGTTACCATCACCCTCCTACATATTTTTTCACAGATAGGATGTCATTTATTAAAGTATTTTGCAATTAAAACATGACCCTACACGACGATGACACGAGTTGAGTTTCCGGTTGGCGACATTTTGACTGGGAACTTTTCACCGAATAAATATGCACTAAGTGAATACATGTTCATAATACAGCTTATTCAAAAAAAGGGTATTTTCACCACCGCTTCCATCTTCTCTGGCTATTAGTAACAGGTGGAATGCAATAATGGTAAGCGTAATACCGAATAGATTGTACACTGATGACAGCAAATCACTGAAGATGATTTCGAGAACAGTCACTGATCTGATCGACACACTCATTGCTTACTACAGAAGTTCATCCATCGTTGTGAAGGATAAGTGTAGCGTCAGCACATACACTCTGTATCGAGTATTTTCACTGTGAACACCTGACGAAATCCGCACCGCCGAAACTGTATTGAAGGAACAAGCGTTCCACGATCGATTCGTAAGTTGTAAGGTGGTTATAAAACGTCAGTGATCAAATGACCTTCGGAAGTGAGCAAAAGCTTGCTTAGCTCACGTGTTGACGCCTGAACTAGTAGTGACTACATGGAACTAAAATTAGAGTCGATATAAGTAATCATAGATTCCACGGGATAATCCGTAGTTAGTTAAAATAACGATCTTAATTTATCTATGGATCTTCTGCGTTCGTAGTTGCTAAGTGCAACCTGTCCAGAAAACCAAGCAACACAAGTAATTCAGGCTTTCTTGGACGACGCAACAGAAAAAGTAAATAAGCATTGATAGCGATCCAAATATAGAGTGAGCTGAATGGAATTTTAATCTGTCACTAAACACTGAATTGTGTTTTTATTGGTTGTTATTCAATGTTTGTCGTGAAAATAACCATTCTTATCTTATTTTCACCTGGTTTCATAAGTGCTTAACGAACTTACTGAAAGTTTCTAATTCACCGAACGTTTTCATACCACCCTTCGTACACAATACACATTTCACATCGCATTATTATTTCAAAATTTGGGTGATTGATATAACAAATGGCACTCGTTTGTATACTATTAACACCTTGATTGTTTGGATATTACGTTATCGGCTCACAAGAGTAACGTTACTTTTGCTTTTGCAGAACATTGTAAGTGAATGTTCAACTTTCACGCGATGGTCATAAAAAAGCCGATTGCGAGTACCAATAATATGAACACGTAAATTATTAACGAAAAATGTATATGCATTTTTTCTAAGTTTCATAATACATTATGATTTGTAACGCATCACTCTGTACACTATGAAGGTGCTTACCTACTCTGTTTGTTGTTACAAGCGCCGGCAATTTATGATTACTTTGATAAATTGGATGAACTGAGATTGGAAGTTGACGCGATCATCCACTTAGCTCTGCGTAAAACATTAGAACAACCTGAGTGTGTGTGCGACAACAGAAATGTTTATGATGACAGCTAAGGGGTAAGTGGTTTAAAATTGCGTCCATTTTACGAAATTAATTAAAGAAAAAGGAGCATCAATATATACATAGGAAATTATTGGTACCTCCTATTAAGTCCGAATGCTTTCAAATAAACTAGGCACCCCCAGTGTGATTCCGAAAAATGCAACTCAGTTTCTTCGAATTTGGAAAAATTTTGGGTAGAACCAAAAAATGTGGGAAATTTCCTCAGTATGTGAAAAAAGGTCTGCGGAAAAGTTGATGAAAACACAAAATTCTCTGCTGAAGCTTCACTAAAAATCCCCCAAAACTGATAAAATTTTCTCAAAATCGTGAGATCGGGAAGTAAGGGATTTGGGAGATACATTTGTGAGGTAGTTAGTTTGTCGAGAATTGCGTGATCTTAGTTCGAACCCCATCACTCCTGACTTCTAATGTGACTGGGTTGGAAGACAATGATCATAAAATGTGTTACTGGTAGAGGCATTGTCAAACTCAGAATACTTGTGGTATGTTTACAGCTACTTATTTTGGGAATTTGTCTCCCATCACAAGTTTATGGTGCATTGAAAGTATAAGTTCCGTGTAGACTTATATAAACGTCAACAACATGTTTTGTTACGCAACCTTTTTGACATGACGAAGCAGCCGTTAAAGAATAAAACCTCAAATATTTCGTGAATTACAGAAAATTTATATAATGTTCCTTCGTGTAAATCATTGCATTTTGTATTATTTTTCTTTCCTGTCGACCCTATTTGTTCGCTCTTTCACTGCGATTAAGCGAGACGATCTGTCAAAAGTAAGAGATTTAGACCCATAAAAATATTCCCCGAACCACCAGTGAATAGGCTACCTCTTTAAAATTATAATGTAATGAGTTTTTGATGGTATTTTCATCGTGATGTCGGGTTGGCGGAACAACTAGATAACGGAGATGATTTACTGAACTCACTATTCTCCGTATCAGAAACTTCTGAATTTAAAGTTTATAGCCGGTAGGAAGTCAATACACTATGATTTACGAATTTCTTTTCCTCTTTTATTGTTAACATACCTAGGTTCCTGCCTGGAGGATTTGACGATCCCCTGCTACTAGACACGGAAGCCTGTTAAGCGAAAGCTTCTTCTATTCCGTCCACAACCATTTGAACCATTTAATACCATAATGATGACCTTGGCAACACTTTAGTTTTGTTGTTGTGATCATTTTTATAGTAAAATGTGAATAATTACTATGTGTCTGACGATTTGTTGGTCAGCCTTTCTCTTGTTTTCTTATCGAGCATCTCTTCTTACAATGTATAATCTCGCTGGCGTCTAAAGTACCTTCAACCTTTGTGACTGCGCAGTCACGAAGTTTCTATGATTTTGCAAAGCTTTTGTGTTTTTCTGAAATTATAGAATAGCTTAATTACCTAGTGATATTTTGTTCTTCAGTGAGGCGGACAGAGAACTATTTGATAGTGTGGTTAAATAAAAATGAATCCTAAAAATACTGTACAGTATTTTTTTATGTGCTCATATGCACCTAAAAGTTATTGAGAAGTCAATAACCACTTTTATATTGATTAACAACACCAAAAGATCGTAAGTTAAATCTTTTCAACGCGATATTTATACATTATTAATGATTATCACTTAACCCTTTTTTCATCAAAAAGCTAAAAATAACAGAGTGACATATTTAACTACTTTTTGATCATCGGTCTGGCTATGCTTTAATTCTTCAACTTATACCTACAGTGAATCGAGAAGAGCATCAGGCTAGGTCTCCCGGTAGTAGAACTGTGGAAACGGCTAAATATCCCTTAATTTTCAAATAAATTTTGACATTAATTCTAGCTTTAGTAGTTAGTCATTAACGCACAAGTCGACTTCCTACCGACGTTAGGTGATATGAACCAAAGGGGGTAGCACGTACTCGTGTGGCAGCTCTCTGCATTTTATGAAACACTAGACGTTTCATATTATTAAATTCTTGTTTCGAGTTCTTCATTTGTAGGATATCTCTCGTGTTTATAGTTCCATTCAGATTTCTGTTGTTTTTTGTCCTTAGTCAATACTCCTACAGGATTCACAGTCCCCTGGCCTTTCCAAACTGAATCTTAATATGATTTTCATCTTGAAGGTTTCCTCTCTCGCCTTACTGATGAGGTTTGACAACTTAGAATGTTATGTATTTAAGTCAGGTTCTACATTACCGTTAACTATATATTAGCGATAACAGTCCACTTTTTAGATAGTGTTTTCCATTTCACTTTCCTATTTTCTAACAGACGACTTTTTAGTTGCATCATTAAATGACTCGATCCAATTATTATGACGAGATTTCATATTTGATAACACGAATCCATGAATGGTAAATATAACTTTTTTCAGTATACTGTGCATTACAACCATTCATTAGCAGGGAAAGGCGTATGGAACTGATGAAAGAATATGCTCTAATCCAACACACTGACTCTTCTGGGTAAGTAAAAAGACAAACGTAATGATCTTAGTTTTTTGAGGAACTCATGTCTATAACATGATTTAAACACGGAAGATTTGATTCTTTGTCAATGATTTTAACCGTCAAACTTTATTGAATAACAGCGTCTCTTTAACTAGTGTAAATATTGCGGCTCTTTATCAGGGAATCACGGGAATCCGATTTCTTATTTTCAGGAAGTCACTATGGCGAAGTTTGGGGAAACGGTAGAGAAACCCTAAAACTTTGTTATTTCCTCAGTCTTTCAGGGGTTTCCTCAAAACCTTATAACACTTTGGGCAAATATCTATATTCTTTGATAAAACCCGAAAATATTGGTTTTTTTATATTTTCGACAACTTTGGAGAGACCTCTCTACATTCTGTGATCAAACCTCAATATATTTTCGCATTTTAGGGACATTCTGCACGATTTTGGGTTTTATCCTGTACCATATTCGAAAAAACCACAAGATTATCAATTGTACAGAAAGGTCTATTGACTTAATAACATTTACCCAAAATTTACTACGCATCTATCCATATTTTTCAATTAACGTCGCAAAGTACCAAAGCAATTAAACCACATTCGGTAACAAGAGCCCGCCTATGATGATATTTAAGCACTGTTGTTGTTAAAAGAGTGATGAGTTAATGATGTTGCTTATTTAAATTTTAAAAAGTTCGAATAATTGTACGTCCATGGTTCACGTCTTTCATTTCTTAATAATTGTTATTACGCTTACGTTTGCCATATCAGGCTGATGTTGAAATCTCCTTGAGTGTTCTACAAAAATAGGGAATAGTTACTCTAATGCATTGCAAACACAGTATGAAAACAGCTTGATGGCTAATAGTACACAAATAAATACCCAATGCAGTGGAAATCATCCAACCTATGAATCCATAATGTCATTTGAAACGTTGATTACGTACCATTGGTATAAAAATAATGTTTTCCGAATTTAAAACTCACAGCTAGGCCTGTGAGCATTTGTGAAGTCAGCTGAAAATAAGATAGACAAGAAATTATTGTTTCAGTATAAATTTTTCAGTCAGTCAGCTACAACGTGCGACCAGGCACATATATACCCCTAAACGCTTTAGAGCGGCCGAGAGTAAAGAGAATCATCTCTCTTTCTTGAAATTCACATTGTCTCGTGCATACAGCCACTAACAGGAAAGTCATACTCACTGCCTTCTCGCGGTGGGGGTGTGGTTTACAAATTGAGAGAACGAAAGGTGAATGTCTGACTCTTTAAGCTGGTTGATGAATACGGTGGGTTATAAAACCGTGATTTCAAACCAATGGTGCACATGGGCCCCAGTATCCTAGGAGAACAAGTGGTGTATGAACAAATTACTGGCCACCAGCTACCATGAAACAGCATCTCCTTACGTTGCTCCACTGCCTTGCGTATTAGACCTTTAGATCAACGGTTCGGAGTGTTGCTTTTTAAGAAAACCACCTGCTTTGGTTTTGGTGCCCGATAAGTATCCTATCCCTCACACAGATCGAATAGTTTATGTAGCGCGTATCTGTTTGCTGCCTCCTTGTACCAATGCTCACGTGATTAAATAAATAATACATCGGTTCAAGTTGTCACACCTAATTAGCACAGCAGGATGGACAGCGGCTTCATAAAGTAGTTAATTCAATGGTGATAATATATAAAAGAAATATTGCATATAAGGATATAGTACAGGAATAAAGATTTAGTTCACAGAAAGAAGGAAATGAAACGATTCTAATCTCTTAATTCAAGGAAAGGCAGAGACTTTGTACATCTACGTCATTGTGATCGATTCTGTGTCATGTCACTCAGAGTTTTCAACCATTGATTACGATAATCACGTGGACCCCAACACAGTAGTCTGCATCTACTAACATGGCCCAGACCAGAAGTTGGTGATCCCAGCAGATGCGAGCAATATTCCTAAGACATCTGTGGTCAAATACTAGTAACTTGCGAGTATCTTCTACTCGTAATGGCCATATCTCGCAGCCGTAAAGTAAAACAGAACGAGCTGCTACGCAGTATACTCGTCCCTTAATTGATAGACGGATATCTCTCCTTCGTCAGAGGTGACGTAAGTTGGGAAAAGCCAAACGAGATTTCCGAATTCGTGCTGAGATTTAATCAGACACCAACCTATTAGGGCTGATCATACTTCCAAGATACGTGAAGGTTTCAACGCGTATTGACGCAGGCCAGTCCTTAGGCAACTACCTGCATTTAGAGGGGATAAACGCATGTCAAACATCCTGGCATTGTTGTTCAATGCTATCAAAAGACTCTGTATTTTATCAGCATCTTCAGCAATTAAGATTATATCATCTGCGTACTCTAAGTTGATAAGTAGACCTCCATGTAGGAGATCAATTTCTGAAAATTCGGATGAAGAGAACGTTATTTCCATCAGTCGGTCTATCATGGAATTAAATAGAAATGGAGATAGTGAAAAGCCTTGTCGGACACCAATTGAAGTTGCAAATGCAGATGACAGTTCGCCATAAGCCCTGACTCGAGTGGTAGTGCTCGAGTAAAGAGCCCTCATAGGGGTTATTTACTTGTGAGGTACGCTTTTCAATGACAGACACTGCCACAGAACTTCGCGGTCTACAGAGTCAAATGCTGCTTTTAAGTCAAGAAAGACCACCATTGTCGGGCATCGATAAGCATACCTGTGTTCTAAAATCTGAAGAATGGTGAATATGTGGCCGACACATCCGTGACCAGGTCCGAAGTCAGTCTGGTTCTCTCATGTTTGCAGTTCTCGAGTCTTTGTTAGATGCCCGATAATTATCAAGGTTAGTATTTTAGACATTATACTAGTCAAATGAATCCCTCTTTGGTTATTGCAGGATGATTGTGATCCTTTCTTGTATACTGATCATGTAATCATAATCTACATGTTTTGTTTATTTGATAGATTAACACTTCTATCCACCTTATATTTACTTTCTGTTAATGACGTTCACTAGATATGAAACACCGTTTTTATGTTGATATTGAGAAGTCTTCATTGACTTTCTCAAATCATCTGGAACTTTCATTCTAAATTTGATCAACAAGATTCAATCAGTAACTGATGTTAGTAATAAAGACTTACTATTTTTTTTAATACTTCCACTGGAAATTTACAGGAGGAATTCACTTTCAAGCCAAATAATTCAATATAACATAAATTTGAGAAGAATAGATGAAAACATAAGAAAAGTGGAAAGAAGACATGAAGACTTGAAATGTCAGTTCGAAAAAATTAAACAAAATGCTAAAGAAAAATCTATGTTGGATGTGAATAAAATGTTGAATCATTCGTTTAATAACCAGGAAGTTAGTTTGATTTGTCATATATTTGTTGTATATTTATTGTTAGTTAGCACTTGTCATTTTTTCAGTAGCACCTTCATTGTCAAACTTAGATAACAAAAACATCATCATAAAGAGACCAATGAAAAGCATTTTTTAAAATTACAATCTAATATGACAGTAAAACAGAAATTTGTAAACAGACATCATGATGAAGTTCACTCTGAATGTTGTAAGAACAACTTAAGACTATCAAGCTTCTAGAAATTATTTTTCTTACGAAATATTTATCATGCAGTAGAATAGATAATATAACCTTAAACGATTGATACTTTAGAGTACAAGGATTTCAAAAGAGATATAAATGTTCGTAGATAATTCTACTGGAAGAGAAGTAGTTAGTTTTTAGTAGGAAATATGAAAGTGATGTCAGTTTATTTTGAAATTATCTATAAATAAAATCAATCAAATGATATTTAACTATCAATTTTTATTAAAGATTAATGTTATGTATTCATGCACAATAATTTGACTGTTCAATAGAGAGTCAAATATAAGCTAGAACAAGACTTCAATAACAGTGTATCAGACCAGACAATATACGAACTCAAAAAGTAATAACAGAGTTATTAAAGACAAATAGTAATGTTAATACATATAAGTTAAATGTTATAAACACAATAGAAATGAGGGACGTTACTTAGTTCACCAGGTTAGTGCGTGTTCTGATTTGATCTGGTACCAAATATCCACAATTATAGATGGTTGGTAATTCCAGTAAGTTTGATGAACTCTCCAGTGATATGATCCAATGTAGGATATGATATATTCCAATTACAGTCTATAAATGTAGATAGTATTTGATTTAGACTTCGGTTAACACAATTACAAATGAATGTAGAACGAGAGGTATGTGCGCAACAATGTATTTGTTAGCAGTCAACAGTGTGTCATTCTATGAAGTTACACAACGGAAGGAAAGTGTGTTCAAGGTCATACACTTAAAAAACACGTACAATCATTGAATGATAAATGTACATACAATGAACAAATTGACAAAATAAATACAAATAACATCAAAACCTATTTACAAAATAAACTTGTCAGGCATATCTCCACAACAGAAGATACATAAGATTAGATCGACACATGAAAAAATAAATCGTTAATTATATATGATGCAATAAACATACCTTTCTGTATTCTTTGATGGATCACAGATCACTTCAGTTAAATATGCCAAGTAGAACTAAGTTTCAGAAGACATGTTTATTTTACATGAAACTAGTCATTTAAATTTGTCTGTATTCCAAATTTATTATTTCTCTTAAGATTCAGACGAAGCATTAGTCACTTTGAATACTCAAAAGTTTCGAATACATTCAACTCACTTTCGACATTAGAAATTATATGAACCTCCTATTTTTTGTTAGTTGACAATGAATAATGTTATATCTGGCATAATTCAGTAGTTTAATAAGTAGTGCTTCGTAGATGGAATCGACATGCTTCCTTGAAGAAATCATCAATATTAAGATTCAAGTATCTTCTAGTTAGGAAGTTTGAATTATAACTCATAGTTCACTTCTAATGTCTATTGAAAATGTTATCTATATGCACATATACATTGTGGTGGACCAAAAATATATCAACCCAAAAATAATAAAGTTGTTAAGTCGAAAAATTAATGTATTACTATGTTAAATAACATTAGTTAGTGTTTTTTTAGCAAATTAGTTTTCTACGGGATGTGATAGCTAACCCCATGCTTAACCTTCCTCCTTTATGCGGGCTTGGGACCTGAAGTAGCTTCAGAGGAGCTCCAAGCGCAGTATATAAAAAACTAGTAATATAAAACTAGAAAAAAACTACTGAACCTTATTTGAATCATCAGGACTTGGAGTGTTTGCGTTGCGTTTGATATAATAATCCACAATTATCCGTAATTAATAATTCCAGCTGCACAGCCAGATGAAGTATATAATGGAAATATATATGTGATCTGTAAATGTAGATAATAAATGCATTAGAGTTTAGTTATCATAATAACAAACAATTGAGAACGAGATACATATATGTGTAGCAGTGTATTTGCTATCGGTTATTCGTGTGTCATGCTATGAGGGAGGGGGATTCAAAACGAAAGAGGAAGCGTTCATGATCATGAGATTTTAACCAATTATTTTACAGTCACTTTACAAATTATGAGAATTAATAGATGAAATGCAGATAGTATCATAAACTAATTACAAGATAAGTTTGTCATGACTATTTCTATAACACAACATTAGAGTATTTAGTTAAATATTCGGTACACTCCAATAGAGATTAATCTATTCTATATTAAAAATTGATTAAAAGGTAACAAACAAGTACAAAAATGCATAAATAAACTTTAAGTGTTATACTTATGAAACTCATTTGTTTCTCAAGTTTGAGTCAAAATAACAAGGAAATGTGCCATATTAAACAAAATACTTTTTAGAAGTGATTAAAGACAATTTAACAAAGAAAATTTACCACAGATTGAAATCATGAGTCAATTGAAGCTAGACCACCATGGAAAGCCTTGGAGCACTGGACGGCCGTTTCGTCCTAGTACGGGATTCCTCGGCAGTGCGCATCCACGATCCCGCACGCCGCTAGATTCGAACCCAGAACCTATCAGTCTCGCGCCAGGCGCTTAACCAACTAGACCACTGAGTCGTCATCCAATGGTGTTAGTGTCTAACTTCAACCAATCCACGAGACTGATAGGTCCTGAGTGTGAATCTCGCGGGAGGCGGGATCGTGGATGCGCACTGCGGAGAAGTCCCATACTAGGACGAAACGGCCGTCCAGGGCTCCAAGGTTTTCCATGGTGGTCTAGCTTCAATTGACACATGATTTCAATCTGTGAAATTTCTAAAATCTCCCCAAACCTCTTCTGAAAATAAAATTTACTTGATGAATATAACATTTACCTAAGTTGTATAATTTTATTTATAGTTAATTAGCAAATAAAGGAGTCTGTTGAAACAATGGACGATAGAATATAATCCATTTTGAGTAGGTTGGCTCTTTACACTTTGATATGAAAGAGATCTTGATGAATATGTTTCTACATCATATGCCGTAGATGACGGATCAAATAATTTGAAGTTCTTCTACTATACGAAAGGCAGATAACAAAGTCTAACCGAATAGGAAAATATTGAATGGCTGCACTTCGTGATGTGACATCATTAACCAAGTAGTGAAAACTTGATTTAACTAATAAAAGTTATACGCGATAGTCTAACCAGTAAACGAGATATAATAAAATGGAAACAATCTTTATATATGAGAGTAGTGAATGAAAATTGTTCATTTGATCACTATTAAGAGATAAAAAAGAAAAGAATCAGTAAGTATTAACAACTTTTGAAATAAAAAGAGAGGATGGGATCATATGTGTTAAGGAATTGGACTCGCCACTTTTAAACAGGATTGGTCTGGAGAATTACTAGAGCATCTGCTGTGCGCAGGTTACTGAACCGTATTCACTTTGCGCTAGTTTGATTTCCATTATTTATCTTTTGAAAGTCAGGCTGATCTTTATTTCAGATTGAATTTGTAAAGATCATCTAACGCCATTCATGACAATTTTCACTGCTCACATATTTAGTGTATAATTGTCAAGCTATGTCAAACATTAATTGAAACTAGGGAAAACCGACCCAGTAGTTTTAATGATCAAGCGTTTTTTGTGACACCTGATTGTTCTGAGTTCTATCCCTGGTTGGGATCGTGTAGAATCTAATATGAGAATGAATCAGATATCCAGTGCTCCCTATCTCAACTGAGATTAATCTGTGACGAATACAATAGATAAATTAAACCAATTTTTATGAAACTTCTCAAGATAAAAAATAGTTTTCCTTTTTTTATCAGCTTCAACAGGTAATTAAAAGAACAAAACAAATTTTAGATGCACAAGAAATAACATTGAAATCTATATCATTTAACAACAACGATGATGATGAATATGATAGTGTTGATAACAATATAAAACATGAAGAATTATACAAATTATCGTTTATTGACCAAACCAGGATCGAAACACCACAAAAAGATGGTGATTATAACAAAACGGAGGATAAGAAAGAAAATGACAAAGAGCTAGGGGAAGATGAAGAAGAGAAAGAATTGGGACAAAGGAGACAAATCAGAGAGATAACAGATGGTGTTGAATCATCGAATCCCGTTGTCCATAAAATTAGATCTCCAATATTTTCGGAAGATCTAAATTATTCATCTGATGATTTTTATAAACAATCTAGATTGTTTGATTCAAATATTTTATTGAACAATCATAGTAATGATGTGAAATCTAACAAGAATAATAATTCGCAACATATGGTCATAGAAGAAGGAGAAGAAAGAAAAGAAGACGAAGAAGAAGAGAAAGATGATGATACTCAAGAAACAGAAGATGAAGACAAGGCAGAATTAAAATGTGAAAATGTTTATCCAATAGATCCAAATAAACAGGGAATAATTCAAAAAGGTAATGTATAGCTATTGATGTATAAGTTTGTTATTGTTATTATTGATTTTAAACCAAGAAGATATTTGGAATATTGATTGTTTAACCAGTTAAGGAATAGGATTAATTGTTTATTATTTCAGTTAGTTTCTTTTCTATTTACATCGATGCTAAACTAATGTGTAGATTAAATGATGGTTAAACTGTTTGATAAAGCAACAGTTGAAGAATTGATTTAGATATAAATCCGGCTATAATGTTTACAGCTAGATGACAACCTATCGAAGCCTGAATGTTGAACTCCTTAAGGTTGTTCTGTTTCATTAAGATTGGAACAATCAACTTAGGAATAGGCTCAAGTTTGTATCGGTTCCAATTCTTATACTTCACATCAGTAAATCTATGAAGAAGCATAAGAATGGAGCAGTATTAAATACATTAAAAATCACAATATATGAATTATGTTTAACGATCAAAAAGTCAAATTGGATAATGGAAATTTTGTAAGCTCACCAAACTCATTTTAAGCAAGGTAAAAAAAAAACGAATCTAAATGCACTACTAAGATCAATTTTGGGAAATTTCACCCATCCTCTCCATTGGGGATTATAAATATTGTTCAGATCCCAACACGAAAACCCCTAACTACTGATACTAACTTAGTCTAACATGAGCATGCTCATCGACGCCGGTTTATTGACTCACTCTTTAAGGTTTTTCAGTCTGCTCATATGATAGTTGTCAAATGTCTAGGTCGGTAGTAGCTAGTCAAGCACAACAATTGTTACAATGATCTTTCTTAGAGAATGTTGATAGGCCTATCAATCATTTACTATTTTAAGTAATATCTTAGAATTAAACTCAGCATTACTTTAACAGACAAGAACGGTACTTTAATAACACAAATAATCAAATACTTTCCACCTAGATAGTAGAACAGAACACTTGATTATATAATCATTTATGAAACACTAGTATACTTGTGGTTCATACGAAGACTAAGCTCAAATAACAATAACTAATTTGAAATCGAACCTTAGTTGGTTACTAGGTATTGGGTTTTAATAGTCAGTAGTACGTTGAGGCCTACTGATGCAGAGACTGTAAAAAACTAACTCGCTAAAAAACACTAACCAGAAAAAATAATTCAACAAATACTTAAATGGTATAGAATTATGAATAATATCAGTGGAAGTAGGAAACACTGAGCTTAAACGATATGATTCGAGAGGAAAAAAACAATGAATTTTCAGAAAAAAAGTGTATTAAGATAATTTCCAAGTCAGAATAATCTAATCTACACGTGACTAAATCCACAGTCTTCAGGTCGTGTGATAATCATACAAACATTACATTACAAGACCAAAAAATGTATGGTTGATTAGCTATCAATTTGTAGTCATCGTTACTCATGATTTGTATAACCCAATATAAATGCTTTTATTTTATAAACTTATTTATAGGTATATCTTGGTGTATTTATGAATTGTGACACCTTATAGCAGCACATTAAGCTAATCCTTGTTTATGCAGCAATATTAAAGTTTAAATATTTTCCTTGATATCATGATCTGATCAATGTTAGATCACCATTGGAAATCTGGAAGCACTGGATAGCCGTTTGCTTCTGATATAGGATAGCACAACAGTAAGTATTACAATCCTGTGTAGTAGAATCGAACCCAGCTCTTTCAGTCTCGCACACGAACCCTTAATCTCTAGACCACTGAGTTGGCTTCCACTGGAGTGAGGCACACATTTCGTTGTGTTTAAGACTCGTTAGCTGGATTCAGTTGTATTTCAGAGTTGGTGTTCACTCTGAGACTCCAGCTCACGCCGTTTGCTTCATATGCTATCGCATTATTCACCTAGCTGCTGGTACATCCGGCTGATGACTCCCTGGATTTCACAGCTAGGCACCATCCATCTCTGCTTAAATTTGCTTGTGACTTAATGATAATATCAAGGCGATCAGCACAGGGTGCACATATACTAAAGTGATTACAATTTTAAACAACAACGGGAAGATTCAAACATCCAATATATTTGAAGTAAACAAATAGTTTTTCATTAAATCACTCTATCTAATTCATGTTTTTATTAATTAACTTTACGATAGTTTAGGTCAATCTTATGAAGAATTTCTAGCAAAAGCAACATTCAGCATTGAAGATTCAACTTATGATCCAGTTAATGAGTCCAATGAACATGAATCTGAATATGATTCAAAAATCTTAAAAAACAATATGAATATAAATGAAGATATGAGATCATCAAATAAGTTATTTGGTATGTTTATTTACATAAATAAAAGTTTACATTATAATTTAAATTGTCCATTTTATTTTAGTAGTATAAGTTTATTTTAAAATTCATCAATAAAGGCATCATTATAAAAGAGTAATAAAATAGTTTATTTTATAATTAGTTTAGAATGTTAAGTGAAATTACATAGCGAACTATTTAAACCAAATACAAATCAACATGTTTTACACAGATATTTCGTCTTGACTCTTAGTCAGTCAGTCAGTCAGCTACAATGTACGATCAGGCACATGTATGCATTGGTCCAAGTTGACATACCTCATCAGCAAAACAACATGAACAAAAAATTCATAGAAATAGTTAATTCAATGGTGGCAATATATAAAAGAACGATTGCATATAAGGATATAGTACAGGAAGAAAGAATTAGTTCATAGAAAGAAAGATATGAAGCGATTTAAATCTCATAGTTTAAACGAAGACAGAGAGTGTATACACCTAGGTCATTGTGATCGATTCTATGTCATGTCATCCAGAGTCTCCAACCATTAGTTACAATAGTCACGCGGACTCTGAAATTATTCACTAACGCTAGTTCTTGATATCAAAAGACTAATTACTATTGGAATATGCTTCCATAAAATTAATTTAATCGAAAATTGCAATAAAGTTAGTGTCGTATAGTAATGTAATAATTTCTCATGTAATTAAGGAAATAATGTTAGATGATTCAGTAATTGTAACAGAAAGGATGAAAGTAATACTGTTCCAGTTTGTATTCAAATGAATAAAATCAATAGTATAAAGTTCGAATGTTAATAAGTTTGAGTCTAAAATAGAAGTAAATGATTGAGAAGTTTGTGTATTGTTATGAAAGAATATGGAATAGTGAAGAACAACAGAAAGTGTAAATTGATGACTTAATATAATTACATAGAATGAACTTAAATTTAATGATCAAAAGCAATCGACCCTATTTGACAGTGTATATACGTGAACTCAAGATAATCTAGTAATCGAATCTAAAAATTGAGGATGGTAAATTTCCAAATAGATTACAGTGGAATTAATTTTTTTTCTTAGAATAATGTTTGATTATTGATGTCTAAGTTTTTAATACAGACTAAAATTGGCTACAGGAACTATTGAAAAACATGGGATCAATTGATTGGTTTTCCATTCTAGATAGAAATTAGCTTATATTTTAACCTCTTATGTAATAACACTTATCTTTGTCAGCCGGCAGATACTCATGTGAACGTTCAATAATTCAGAAGTAATTCAACATTTAGTATTTTCGATACTGTAATATAACTTGACACTTTGAGGCTTATGTACACTACTTGGGTGTGCAGGTCAATTGTTCAAAGAGAAACAGATTCATTACAGTTTGGAACTCGAAATTATTTGCTGAAAGTCGATTATTTTAATCATGACGCCAGTGTATTAATGATAGTAATAAGCCATTTATTAAGTCAAGGGTAATGTGCCAGACTTTGAAATATGCATTTTGAAATAACTCTACTGAATATACAGGACAATAAGTCTCCGTTTAGTCGTTGTAAAATGTAAAATAAACTTGTATCTACTAGTTAGATGTCAGACTTTTCGATATGAAACTGGAGATTCGATGTTGACTATTTCTTATGGTGTTAAATGTGAAAATTCCTGAGAACTCGTAAAGCTATTAGTAAAGAAATTTTTCTCAACTGTATATGTTTGTAGTTAGGTACTTTCATAGTTAATATGGATTTATAAAAAACCAAAATATATTGGTGTTATTAACATGGAATGTTTGTGGATAATCTTTAGTTTGATGATAGTTTGCATCAACTTCCTCGAAATTCCAGTGCTAATGAATGCCTTATACTCACCGATAACTAACATCGAAGAAAATTCATAATACCCTAATACGAAGCCGCAACCGGGTGGAATTCAGCTATTTCAAGAGTCAGATAGTTATCACTGATGATAAACACCAGTACACAACCGTAGCTTCTATGGTGGTTTAGTTTGTCTATCGTATCGACCAAATCAAATTATGTTGACTGGAATACTCTTTCTTTTAGGTCCCAAAATACAGGTCAGGCCTGTTGGAAGATAGTTAGACTGAGGAGTAAAACTTAAGGTTCGAGAGAAAAGTTGTACTTTAATTTCTAGTTAGATGTGGCTTCAGTAAGGCTGATTTAGTGGTCTAAAAATAATGTGCTCACTGCAAACGTTTTGGATTGATGAGGAAAAATACAATCATCAAATGCTTTGTGATTTTCAAGGAATGTCTGTCTAAAGTATTTTCATAAGGTGTAGACTAATTGTTGAGGATGATTATTTGGGTACTAATTATTGGTCTTAGCGTTTTTGGTTAACGACAGACTCGTTCGAAGTAAAGATTGGTATCAGGAAATGTTGCTTACTCTCACCCTCTCTCTTTCTCCTGGTAATCGATTGCATCATGAATACGTCAACATCTGGGGAGAAGCGCGGAATACAGTGGACAGCTAGGATGCAGTTGGACGATCTAGACTTCGCAGATGATCTGGCCCTCCTATCGCAATTGCAACAACAAATGCAGGAGAAGACAATCAGGGCAGCAGCAGCCCCAACAACAGTAGGTCTCAATATACACAAAGGGAAAAGCGAGATTCTCCGATACAACACAGCATGCACCAATTCAATCACAATTGACAGAGAAGATTTAAAAACATTTACAGCATCATTGATGAACGGGGTGGATCTGATGCAGATGTGAAGGCACGGATCGGTAAAGCAAGAGCAGCATATTTACAACCGAAGAACATCTGGAACTCAAAGCAACTGTCGACCAACACCAAGGTCAGGATTTTCAATACAAATGTCAAGGCAGTTCTACTGTATGGGGCGGAAAGCCGGAGAATTACGAAAGGCATCATCCAGAAGATACAGGTGTTTATTAACAGCTGTCTACGTAAAATACTTCGGGTCCGTTGGCCAAACACTATCAGCAACAACGTACTGTGGGAGAGAACAAACCAGATCCCAATGGAGGAAAAATCAGGAAGAAGCGCTGGAAGTGGATAAGACACACGTTGAGAAAAGAAGTCAACGGCATCACAAGGCAAGCCCTCACATAGAATACTTACTGCCAAACGAGAAGAGGAAGACCAAAGAACACATTACTCCGAGAAACGGAGATGGACATAAAAAGAATGAACAATATTGGATAGAATTAGAAAGGAAGGCCGAGGATAGAGTGGGGTGGAGAATGCTGGTCGGTGGCCTACGCTCGATTGTGAGTAACAGGCGTAAGTAAGTAAGGAATTATTTGTCTCCTCATAAGTTTGCTTTTCAGTAAACTATGTGGTTTTCTCGGCTATTTTAAATGCTGTTTTTTCTTTAAAAAAATGGAAAAGATAATCAATCACTTTATTCTTCAATTTTAGATTCAACAAATGCTAATCTACTTTCATCATGGACAACATATAAAACGGAAGACTTAGAGGATGACAGTTTTTATGATTGACAAATAAAAATGTCTATATAACACATTTCTTCTTTCCTAGGATAATGATGATAATATTAGTGAAATAACGCTCATATTTCTCAGTACAAAGACAAAAATTGCTTGGGATGGGCAATGAAAGATTTGTTTGCGTATATAATTCACTCGCTCTATACTACATACTTATTCAGCACTATTCTTCTACAAGGCCTCAAAATAACTCAAGTTAAGAACACGCGATTTACCTGACTAGTACGTGTATTGTTCAGCAATTACCAACCTACAATGCCGTAAGTACACGGGTAGGGAAATATGTAAGACCAATCTGCCTACAACAATCAATCACTATTTTCTTTCGATCAGACAACAATCAATGTGCGTGAAATTTTTATCTCATGTCACAATGTTTAGTTAAAAATAAATTATATTGTAAATGAACAGATCAATACAATTCCATATCCATTTGACATGATATTAACGAGTTTTGTTGTACAATAATGAATATATGATTCATGAACATGAGAACATTTCTGTTGATAATTAAATCACCGGAAGTTTTTTTCAATTTTAAGTAACAAGAAATAAGAAAGTCACCTAGGTAAGTGTAAATTAACTTAGTACTTGTAGAAACAGTATAAAATTTATTAAAGTGGCTGACCACTCTGAAGTAAAGCAGTAATAGTGACGTGCTTTATATATAAACTTGTGTGATTATCTAAAGAAAAACGAGTACACGAGGGAATATTGCAAATAAACATGACCATGAAAGTAGGCAATAGACAAAGTTCAAATGGTTAACAAAAATTCTGTATTTGCAAGCACCTTCAACAGTGACCAAGCAAAGGCGTAATTATAACGATCAAAAGTTCCCTCCTATTCTATGTAGTTAAAATGGGTCACAGCGTGCATTATTCTTTTGTTAATTATATGCCAAAATCTACCAATTGGCAGAAACATCAATGAAAAAGGCTGAAACACCGGTGAATTGAATACAGAAGAAATCCCTCTTACTGTGGCCAAACCTAGACACAATAATTTCATTAGTCAACTAAACTATACTTTGAACTAATATGAATAAAGTATACAGAAACTACCCCCCCCACATTTTTGTAACTTTAGTTTAACCTAATGGAATATAATTGTTATTTTATTATTACAGATCCCGTGGAGAATATAATTAGTACTCATTTAACTTTACCATCCGTTACTAAATTTCTGTCATTTCATACATTACGTAGGATTCGATCATTTACCTGATTTTTACTTTATTGTTTCTCTCTCCCTATTTTACTAATGCTTAACAATATATCTCAAAATACAATAGAAATGTTTATTATTATTTACAACTCAGAAATCAAGAATAAATTTGAGTAATAGATGTTTTATATACACATAATGCTTGAAAACTACTAAAATAACATTTGGAAAGCGCTCTCCAATATCTTATCATTTCGATCTTATTATACGTTTCCATATTGACTATTATTCACCTCACTGTAGTACTCGACTAGAATCAAAGTTGCACTTTACTATTTCGTTCACAAAATGTGTTGTGTGATTTCTCAACCGATTCCTTCAATGGTAGCGTGATTATGGGGTAGTTACATTTAAATAGTTCATCTGGACATGTTTCATAGACATTCAAGGAATTATCATCAATGTAAAGTAAATAAAAAAGGAATAAAGATATGGAATATAGTTGGTTATTGTAAGTAATCCAACTGTTACACTGCAGAGAACTATTTCAAATGATTGTTTCACTTTCAGTTGTCCATTATCTGCCTCATAAAATAAATTAATGATATCTGCTAGTTGGTTTGAAGAGATCAAGCTAAGACTATGCAACACTAACGAAATGATTCAGGAGATAGATAAATGTTCACTAGATAATGGTTGTCTAGTTAGTTGGTTTTGGCAACTTATAATGTTTTTAGCACTTGATGTAATTATCAACATAGGTCCGTTGATTCGTATTCCTCGTAAACAAAAGTAGGGAAATTATAGTATATGGATACGCCAATCAGAATGAAAAGCCTGTCAGACGTGAGGGAAATTCAAGAGGACATGACGAATAGTTTGTATCTCACCAGAGGCTGAGTAAAGTTTCCCTATATCTAGTTCGGATGCTCAAAACCGATAAATATATCTACTGTGCATCCACACGGTACACTTAATGTGAAAGCTCCTGACGTTGATTGCGTCACCAACCGGGCGCACTCGATGTGATGGTAAAACTATACTATTCTAACGGTCTGGAAAAACTCACCAGCCAGTAAAGATACAGTGTTTCGTTATAAAACAATTACCAATAAAACCACAGTGAACAAATATGCTTGGTATTATTAGTAAACCTCTATGTCAGTCGGATTAAACCATGTTGACGACGTTGGGCGATTCTAGAAAGGATAATGACTCACCAATCAAAGTGAAGCCCTTGCAAATGAAATAGGTATCTCGAAACAAACGATAAGATTACATATAATATGAAGTCGAGGAATACTAGTAGCATAACTCTACTATCCTTCAAGCAGCATAAGTCTGACCATCTTAAACTTAATTCTTCTGTAGTAACACCACTGCACTCCACAGCTTTCCTGACCATTACTTGGTGTGAATTTTTTAATGGTCAAATATTCTTCAGTTGGTCGGCCATCACGTCATCCAAATTTGCTGACAAGACAAACTTCATCACGAGATGATACCTGGAGCCAGACTATTTGTGATTCCGTGTTAAGTATTGTGCATAAGTTCGACGATCATTAACTCTATACTGAGCAATTCTATTTGTTTCAAAGTCCCAAGGACACTTTAGACATGCAGCCACGTTTTACGGCACCTTCGGTTTCGCGCAAAAATCCTAGACATATATTGGTTGTGATTAACTAACTCAAAGTCTTTAGTATAGTATACTTTTACTGATGTAGCTAAGCGCATGGTCAAGGGCGTTTGTGTGATTTCCCAAGATCACGGGTGCATTACGATCTAACCTACACAGAATTATTCAGGGACTACCATATATAGGAATGATTGGTGAATGCAAAATGTATGATAGTCATCGTTCACAAGCGTTCTTCTTCTGTCAACCCTAACACTAGAGACCACAGTAACAGTGCTTAGACAGTGTGGTGAAGACCGTAGAACTATCTTCAACCTTACAAAATCTCTAGAGGTAAACTAAACTGGAGTCATATAGACAAACTTTTGTATGGCACCTGCGTTGATTTGCATACTGATGAATCCACTGCAAACCTTAATCAGTTTGACGGTCAAATAGGAAGTATATATATGTTCTAATTTTCGGTTTTCGATAATAAATGATTCATTCCTGTCACCTATATTCCGACTGGAGAAAAAGTCTCTTAAGGCTATCCATACATTACAGTTCAACCTGTATAATGACTACTTACTGGAAAAAACTCACCAAACACAGAGTGGTGTGATTGGTCTTGGGTTATACTTTGAGTAAAGGCTAGAGTATTAACACTGCCCACTTAACCGGACCGAAGTAGGTGGGTTCGAATCTACAACCTAATGGTTGGAAGCCGAACGCTTCAACTTTAAAACCACTGCTCAGCCGTTTACTGATATGCTATATGGTCAATTACCAGCAAGATTACAAAGTAAAATAGTCAGTATAGTCTACTTTTTTGTAAAGCTGATCAATATATAGTTGCACAGCTTTTAAGCAGTGTCGAGGTGTAGCATAGTACCATGAACAGGAATTCATTGAGATGGTTTCATTATAAACTATCGAGAAGTGATAAATAGGGTAATGATATTAAATGAAGAAAACAACTATTCTCTACCTCGAATTTTATTTACAGAGTATGCGCTTCAAATAGAATTAAAACACCAGATGTGATATATATATGAGCTATTTAGTAGTTTTCGGGTATATATAAAATAGTGTTAGAAATAAAATTTTGAAGTGAACTCATTATCAAATATTCAATATAATCACAGTTACAACAGAAAACTGATGAACAGGTCTAAACACTATATATATATATATATATATATATATATATATATATATATATATATATATATATATATATATATATATATATATTCCAAGTAACTAGAGTATTAAGAAAGGAGCCTGAAGTACGACAATAGTTAAGAACGTTTATGATTGTGATGGCGCAATGATTCTCCTGACGTAGAAGGACTTGGATTACGTTGATTACGAGATCCAGAAGAATTTAGTGAGTAGTTGGAAACACATTCATCTCCAGATATATATGGTGTACTTGATCGGCTTGCACTTACTATTTGCTTAGCTTCTGATCTATCACTTTCTAAACAGCCATTGATGGAGGATTGTGAACACGGTAAGTTGGAAGACGGATTATTCATTGAACCCCCATTAACTTCATTAGAGTTGGAATGAGTCGCTTCCTCAATTTCTAACTGTTTACACAATGATGTTGTAATATTGCTAGATGATTGAATTGAGGACATTTTTATTCCAGCTACACCCTTCTTTTCGCAGGTTGGCAAATCCCGTTTAATTCGACGCAAACGACCAGAATGATCTTTCCGGATCTTCAAAAACAAGAATGCATTACAAGCATAGTAAAAAATGGCAACTGAGACAATCAAGATACTAAATGTAAGGCGAATGAAATGTAACATACAAAATGCATGAAATGTATTTTTAAAACATGTAAATAAACTAGCGAAATGCATTTTTTTTAAAAACATGTGAGCAGCTTGGCTTTAAACATGGTCGTGGCTGCGTTGACTACATATTCACCATTCTTCAGATTTTAGAACACAGGTATGCTTATCGGTGCCCGACAATGGTGGTCTTTCTTGACTTAAAAGCAGCATTTGACCCTGTAGACCGCGAAGTTCTGTGGCAGTGTCTGTCATTGAAAAGCGTACCTCACTAGTAAATAAACCCTGGGAGGGCTCTTTACTCGAGCACTACCACTCGAGTCAGGGCTTATGGCGAACTGTCATCTGCATTTGCAACTTCAATTGGTGTCCGACAAGGCTTTTCACTATCTCCATTTCTATTTAATTCCATGATAGACCGACTGATGGAAATAACGTTCTCTTCATCCGAATTTTCAGAAATTGATCTCCTACATGGAGGTCTACTTA